GCTGCTAACTCAGGAACCACCACCTAGGGTTCCATCTAGGTCTGTGTTGATAAAGAAACTACATTTTCATTCTAAAAATACCAATGAATAAAGAATAGGTTCCTCTAGCTCAAAATGCAAAGGAATCCCTCTCCCCACCAGTTTAAGAGGACTTCACAAAACAAACATATCAACAAAAGTTAAAAGATGCAGTTTCCATTCCATCCACGGGGCCATGGTGGGGGTTAGGAGTCTCAACAAGTCATTCTTCCTGGGACGGGTGACTTAAGGCAGGGCTTTTGAGGAAAAGAGAGACATACACCAGGAGAGGCATTCCAGAATCACCAAGCCCAAGGCCCACAGGATATTACTGTTGGGTGCCACATAACAAGGTGTCCCACCTTTCAGATTCCATCTGATGGTGGAGGAGTTCCTGACATGGACATTGTATCCCAGCCTGGACACCTGTGCTGGGCTCCAGGGCCTTGTTTATGCCGTTCCCTCGTCTGGAATCCCCTTCCTGGTCCTCTCCACCTCTTTAGGTCTTATTTGTCCATCAAAACTGTGGTGAAATCTAACTATTCTCCAAGAGGGCTTACCATCTGCTTGACCTATACAGAATTTCATTTTCTGCTTATATTGGGGACTTGATCATTGTTATCTGTTTTTTGTTGTTGTTGTTGTTGTTTTATATGTGTGGTTTTCACATTCATTGGTTGATTCAACAAATATTGCCATTTCTTTTTTTTAATATTTATTTTTCAGGTGTAGATGGACACAACACAATGTCTTTATTTTTATGTGGTGCTGAGGATCAAACCCAGGTCCCACCCATGCTAGGCGAGCGCTCTACCACTGAACCATAATCCCAGCCCCAAATATTGCCATTTCTTCAGCAAGTCTTATTAGAGGGCCTGTGGTGTGATGGACATTATGACAGGTTTTGGAAATAGAATCAAAGGTTTAAAAACCAGACCTGGTTCCAATAGAGAAAAATCTACTAATCAGATAATTACACTGGTGGAAGTACAATTGAAAACTGAGAAGAATGTTCTGAGGAAGAATGGTCTGAGGAAAAGAGTATTATGAGAATGTATAAGAAAGGGACCTGGTGTAGACTTGGGGTCACGGTGGACTTTCTGAGAAAATATAGTTTGAACTAAGATTCAAAAGTGAGTACTGGATAGATGGAGAGGAGGTGGGAGAGGGAAGAGTTCTTTAAATTAAGAAAGGGAGAGGACAGCATGTGCAAAGGTCCTGTACCAGGAGGGAACATAATTCAAGGAAAGAGATCCTTGATACAGCATCCAGTTCGGGGAAGTTGATGTTGAATTACCTTGAACATGGCAGTGGTGAGGTGGATTAGGTAGCTGACTAGGAGCTCAGATCAAATGAGCTGGGGTAATCACTGGGAGTCCACAGGGGATGGGCCATGGATGAGGCCACTAAGAAAGAGAGTCCATGTGAGGAAGGGAGGAGGTGTCTTCTCAGATTGTCACAAGCCCCGGAAGGGCAGAGCATTTTGAGGAAAGAAAGTAACTTCCTAACAGCAGCATAGGGGAAGTTTCCCTCATTTCTCTCTCTCCTTGGTCACTGTTATCTGAGTTCAGGTTCTAACTCTCTCACACCTGTATGCAGCAAGAGCCTACTAATCCAGTTCTCAGATTTTAGATGTCCACGAATCACTTGGGGGCAGGGGGTCCCTTGATAAAATGCAGATTCTGATTCAGGAGGTCTCGGCTGGAGCTGTGGTTTTGCATTTCTGACCTATACCTTTTTGGCAGCTGGAGAATTGGTCTCCCTGTTTCTGGCATTCTCATACCCAGCGCCCTCATGCTCTGTGGCCATTCATTGCTCCCAGCGTCACTTTGAGCTCAGGTCCTGCCCCAGCTGTCTCTGGCCATCTTTGACTCTTTCCTCTGCTTCCTTCCATCCCCTCTTCATCCCATCAAGTCAAACCCCTTGAGCACAAATTTTCCATTTCTTTCTCTTACAGTTCAGAAAGGGACAGAGACCAACACAGCTCACTCCCAAGTGGAAGGGGACAACTGCAGTAGTTTCCAGATTTTTCTGCTTAAAAAAAATCCTCCCTGAACCCCTCACCTTTAAAATATATATGTAATTGAACCGAGGGGCACTTTACCACTGAGCTAAGTCTCAAGTTCTTTTTATTATTTTATTTTTGAGACAGCAACACTGAGTTGCTTAGGGCCTCAGTAAGTTGCAGAGGCTGGCCTTGAACTTGAAATCCTTGCTGCCTCAGCCTCCTGAATCACTGGGATGACAGGCGTGCGCCATCATGCCGGGCTCCTCTCTCACCCATTTTTAAGTTTACATTTACATTTTTTTTATCATGTGTTTGCAAAAGATATGATCTCTAGAATGTTGTAAACATTGATATTTTTAAGTAAAACTATGACGTCACTGTTTTAATTTTATCCAGTGGAATCTAAACACCGCAGCAACTCAGTACCCACTATCCTCCACTTCAAAAACCACACGAACACGCTCTTCTTTAATAGTCTGTGTTCTTTTTCTCCTTAAAATTTTATTTCCATTTCAGTTTCCTCGTGGAATTTTATCCTAATCTTATATATGTAATATATTTTTATGCTTGAAACTCTTTCATTTGTGTCCCCGTCATATTTCTCTGGGATGACTTATAAAGTTGAAACTTTTTTAATTTCCTAAAATCATAAAGCTCTATGCATTACAATTTTTCTTCTGGCTTGAGTTATCGTTACAATTACTAACAGTACATAATTGATCAGAACAACACAAATGTATTACTAATTTGGATAACTAATTAATAAACATAAAAATAAAATTATATTGAAAATATTTCTCTTAATGAGATGGTGATAGTGGATGGCTTTTTAAAATAGACTTATTTATTGTTATACAACATGCATATCTGTATCTGACCAGATTGTGTACAGTTTGAGTTATCACAGAGCATGCATGCCCAGGGATTATCATGCAGGGTTAGCGCTGGCATGTTTCTGCAATTTATTTATTTATCCATGTAAGACCATTATTTATTGCTAGCATGAGACAAAGATCAGCATTGTTATATTTCCATTTTTCATTTATGTAGGTGTAAACACTGAGAAACCTCATTCACATAGAAATACAAATTTTGTCAGAGCAGGGTCACTTGACTCTTTGATCTGCTTCTGGGTTGTATACCAAAATTCACAAAGTGATCCATCACCAAAAAATCATATTTGAGGGCTGGGGCTGTAGCTCAGTTGGTAGAGCATTTGCCTTGCATGTGTGAGGTACCAGGTTCCACCATATAAATACAAGTAAATAAAATAAAGGCATAAAAAATCATATTTGAATTATTTCAATTAGAACTTTCCAATTAAAAAAAAAAGGTGATGCATGCCTATAATTTCAGCTACTCTGGAGGCTGAGTCAGGAGTATCACAAGTTCAAGGTCAACCTTGGCAACTTATTGATACCCTGTTTCAAAAAAACAGAAAGAACTGGGGAAGGGGCTTGATAGTAGAGCACCCCTGGGTTCAATCCCCAGTAGCCATCCCCACCACCACCCCCAAAATTAGAAACTGTCCCTGTTGGAGAGATTGCATTATTAGTCCTGTGCTTGCTTTCTTGATTTTCTAAGTGTCCTCTTGTATGGCAGCCAGTGGAAGTCAGATCAGGGACATATTTACTCTGGACCAGTAAATCTGGTTAAAATTTGGAATTGGATGGGTGAGTTTGCTTCTCTTTTTGTAAAAGAGGAGAGCAATTATGAAAGAGCAGGTATCAAAGGACTATAGTACCTCTCTCATTCTCCAGATACAGAAAGGAGCTTCCAGAGAAGTTGAAGATTTGGAAACCGATTCTCTTAAAACTTTAAGGGTGTGCTGGGTTCTGTGGTGCACACTTATACTCCCAGCTACTGAGGAGGCTGAGGCAGGAGGATCACAGTTCAAAGCCAGCCTGGGCAATTCAAAGAGACCCTATCTCAAAGTAAAATAAAAAGAGCTGGGGATGTGTAACTTAGAGGTAGAGCACCCCTGGGTTCAATCCCAATGACTGCAAAAAACCATACACCCAACAAAACTTCAAGTGTGTGTGCAGTGCTTGGAGAGTCCTCCTGTGCTCCCAGAAGTTCACAGCCCAGTTGGAAGTCGATACTCAAAAACCCAAATGGACTCAAACCAGACCAGACCAGTCTCTCCAGTTTCCTGTTCAAGTTTCTCAAAGAGAAAAACTTATTGATCCAGGCAACATTTTTATGCCAGATCATGGATGGCATAAGCTTCTGGCCAGGTAGAAGCATTTCCCTGAGCAGGGACCACAGAAGCCAGGCAACTGTTAGGTTGAGCTGATGATCCATCTACTCCTCCTTCCAACCCCTCTCCATTTCTATTCTGCTACAATGCAAATAGGCTCTCTAGTCTCTGAATTCCCAAATCTCCTTTTGTCACCTCTACTTTTTTTTTTTTTAATCACATACAGGTCTTTCCTCTTTGTGTTGTAGTGATTTATGTACCCCATCACCTTTTCTAATTATCAGCCCCTCAAGGTTAGGTCCATGTCTTAATCATCTCCCAGCATCAAGCTTATACTTGGTAGGTGTCTAAAATATTTGTTGAACAAATAAATTGCATGTCCTAAACTCCTTCATATCCCCCACAGGTCCCAGAATAGTGCCAGATTTGCAATAGCAGGGTCCCAGAAGAACAGGTGAATTAATCAATGAACAAAACAGTAAATTAACAAATCAATAAACTAATGAGCCATTGAACAGTGGCTTGAAAGTAAGAGAACTCTTGACACCTCATGGGAGAGTCCAGATCGGCAGAACCATTGCAAAGGATGTGAAATGTATGACACCGGCTGTTTCTAATTGAATGTCCTATTTTATATATATATATGTGTGTGTGTGTGTGTGTGTGTGTGTATGTATGTATGTATGTATTTTATAACTGGTAGTATTGGAGAGAATTGCTTGTCATGAAACATCTAAGTAAACTGTTTCCTGTTCTTTGTGTCTTGTCTTACAGGTGTGAGCAGCGTCTCCTCACCACAGTGGTGTTTGGTCCATACCTCAGCTCGGGTGAGGATGTAAAACCCCGGGCTCTGCAGATGAGTGGTACAGGCCAAGAGGAACCCCTGGCTCCAGCCTCCTTTACAGAGATGTCAGCCATGGAGTAGTGTGGACGCTTTCTCTCAGCTTCTCAGGGTTTCCGTCTTTTTGGGTTTTCTTCACTTACCTTTTTTTATGGTTTTGTGGCTGGACATTCATAACCAAGGCAGACACCATGGGAGATCAGCAACTGTACAAGACCAACCACGTGGCCCATGGTGGTGAGAACCTTTTCTACCAACAGCCACCCCTTGGTGTCCACAGTGGGCTGAACCACAACTATGGGAATACAGTCACAGGGGGTGGAATGGATGCCGCTCAGGCCTCGCCCATCTCCCCCCACTTCCCTCAAGATACTCGGGATAGTCTGGGCCTACCTGTTGGTTCCAAAAACCTTGGCCAAATGGATACCTCGAGGCAGGGAGGGTGGGGAGGCCATGCAGGGCCTGGAAACCATGTCCAGCTACGTGGCAACCTGGCCAACTCAAATATGATGTGGGGGGCACCCGCCCAGGTGGAGCCCGCTGATGGCTACCAGTATACCTACTCCCAAGCCAGCGAGATCCGGACCCAGAAGCTCACCAGTGGTGTCTTACACAAGCTGGACTCTTTCACCCAGGTGTTCGCCAACCAAAACCTGCGAATTCAGGTCAACAATATGGCCCAGGTGCTGCACACCCAGTCAGCAGTGATGGATGGAGCCCCTGATAGTGCCCTGCGCCAGCTGCTGTCTCAGAAGCCCATGGAGCCCCCAGCACCGGCTATACCTTCCCGCTACCAGCAGGTGGCCCAGCAGGCTCACCCTGGTTTCACTGGGGGATTGTCCAAACCAGCCTTTCAGGTCGGGCAGCACCCGTCCCAAGGGCACCTGTATTATGACTACCAGCAGTCACTGGTTCAGATGCCAATGCAGGGAGGACAGCCGCTGCAAACCCCACAGATGCTGTCACAGCACATGCAACAGATGCAGCAGCACCAGTATTATCCACAGCAACAACAGCAGCAAGCAGGGCAGCAGCGGATCTCCATGCAAGAAATACAGCAGCAACAGCAGCAGCAGCAGCAGCAACAACAGCAGCAGCAGCAGCAGCAGCAGCAGCAGCAACAGCAACAGACTCGCCCACCACAGCCTCAGCCGCAGCCGCAGTCGCAACAGCAGCTACCACTGCAGCAGCGGCAGAGTTCAATGCAGATACCTCAGTATTACCAGCCCCAACCCATGATGCAGCACTTGCAAGAACAGCAGCAGCAACCAGTGCATCTGCAGCCCCCTTCTTACCACAGGGACCCTCATCAGTACACCCCGGAGCAGGCGCACGCTGTTCAGCTGATTCATCTGGGCTCCATGCCCCAGTACTACTACCAAGAGCCCCAGCAACCCTACAGCCACCCCCTCTACCAGCAAAGCCACCTGCCCCAGCACCAGCAGCGTGAGGACAGTCAACTGAAGACTTATTCTAGTGACAGGCAGGCCCCGGCCATGCTGAGCTCCCACGGGGATCTGGGGCCTCCTGATACAGGAATGGGAGACCCAGCAAGTTCGGACCTGACCCGGGTTAGCAGTGCCCTCCCCCACCGACCACTCCTCTCCCCCAGTGGGATCCACCTCAACAACATGGGGCCTCAGCATCAGCAGCCGTCTCCCAGTGCCATGTGGCCCCAGGTATTCTCACAGTGGAAGTGTCTCCCCCATCTCAGTTTGCTACAGGGCTAGCCAGGGCTGAGCCTCTGCAGTACCCAATCCTCTGTCCACCTATCAACCTTTTTCTTCTTTATATGTTTCATAAACATTAACCTACATGTGCCAGACACTCACTGTGCAGGATGCTCAGTTTTGATTCAGTCCTTTGCCCATAGAGCTTATAATCTCACTAAGGTGATGGTCAAAATACTGTATCATATCCTAAGTGATTCATGTAATGATCAAGACCTTGAGTCACACGCCAGGGATCACACAGTGAGGATGGGTGTCTCACCCCCTTAAATTTGTATCCTCTGGGTAATCCCTATGAATCTGATCCCCCCCTTTGGGACCATTATGACAGCATTTCTCAAAGTTCAGAACAGCAGTTCAACAGAATATTAATGGATATTGCTGGGGAAATAATGGATTTGTTGGATAAATTTGGAGTTTCTCAGGGTAGAACAGGTTGCTATATGTAGGGCTTCTCAGAGCCTTTAATGTGCCAGTGTGCATTGTGACTCTCCCAAAGGGGATGCTGCATATAGTTGCAGAAATGAACCTTAGCTGTCACAGAATCTAGGATGGTAACATGAATAAGCAAAATGGCTTGTATGAGACAATTGGTAGTGGTGGAGACTGTAGTAAACTGGACAGCAGACACCCTGTCTCATTCAGAATTTTTTAAAAAACAATCTAGCCAAATAAAACATGTCTGCAGGCCAGATTGAGTCTGTGAGCCATAGTTATTAACTCTTGGTTAGTTCTGATAATGACCACTGTGTGCACCGAGTACTTAGGCATGTTCCAAGTGCTACAGACTTGTGCGACAGGATCTTGGACCCCAATCTGGAACTACTGGGGTGGAGAAAGGGCTTAAGGGAAGCTGAAGGCCACAGGTGAACTTGCTCTGGACCTTGTTTCATCAGGGACACAGACCAAGAAGTAACTGGGTCTGTGAGGGCCTTTGTGAATACAAGGATGAGAGTCCATGGCCAGGGCTTTTAAAGCTTTTATAAAAGAAACCTGCATGTGGTCTTGGGGCCTGAGGCTGAGTCATCCAGCTTTCCTCTGTGTTCCTTGTGGGCATGAGGATGGTGCCTGGTCTGTGCACAGAGTGGATGCACTGGGAGAAAGGTGGAGGAAGTTTGCATCCTAGTGGGCTTGTGGCTGCTCCAGGAAGAGGGCAGTGGTCCCTAGTCAGGGGCATATAAGTGAAGGAAATGAGGTGCAGAAGAGTGAAGGCTTAAGTGGGCATGAGCAGGGTCATTGGGAGTGGGAAAGCTCTGGAAGGCTAGGCCCTAGTGTTCACATGGGTCAAAAAACCCCACTTCAGAAACACAATTTTTTTTCTCTTTCTTCTTTTCTTTCGGTGTCCTGCTTGGCTCACAATTAGATGCACCTACCTGATGGGAGAGCCCAGCCGGGGTCCCCTGAGTCAAGGTAGGATGAATGGAGGCTTGGTGGTATTTTCGGAGACTGGGAGTTTTACTGGGTTGTTTCTCATGATTAATTTTTAAATTCAGAGTCAATTTTTCAAAGAAGCATAGGAATAATAATAGCAGTTGTGTTTGAGCAGTGATTGTGTGCTTGGCACCGTGTATTGTGTATAGTGAAATAACACAGTGGTTATCATGTGCCTTGTCCGTAGGAAGCCCTCCGTGGTAACGCATTTGCCTTGCGCGTGTAAGGCCCTAGGTTCAATCCCCAACAACCACCCCCCCCTCCAAAATAGCAAGCATTCAATAACCATTTAGCTCATACTGTTTTCATTTTAGAAATGAGAAAACTGAGTCTCAGAGCTTAAGGGTATACATTAAGTAAGTAGCAATGTTGGGAATAACTCCAAAGCCCTTATTCTGTCCACTATCCATTTAATCAGTTAGGATTTATTGAGTGCCTGCTGTGTGCCAGGCACAGAGCTGGGCTTTGAGAATGCAGTGGTAATACCATAGCCTGGCTCCCTCCTCTCATAGCCATGGTGAAAAATTAAAGACGAAGCCAGATCCTGGTAGACTGCTGAAACATGCGGTACAGACTACCCAAGGGGACTTACCCCAAGGGACTTAAGTGTCTCTCAGAGAAGCCATTCAGAGGAGATGTGCTCAAGCTGACTCCGGAAGGGCAGTAAACCCTTGGTGGGAGAACCCTAGTTCCTGAAGGCCTGGGATAAGGAGGATGTGTTGGTCAACTCTCATATGCTTTTAAGAAAGCCCTTTCCCACTCTGAGCCTCAGTTTTTCATCAAGTTGGGCTTGGTTCTCTGAAGGGTTCTGGGCATCAGACAGGGGAGCATTGGATGAATAAAATGGGTATGCTGTGGGTGAGAGGTCTTGTGATAAACTGCTGTTTCTCCTTCCTCAATGTGTGTGTGTCCTCTCCATTTGGCCCTACCCCTTGAGTAGTGGCCAACCCAAAGGAGTGTTTGGGGAACAGTTTGATGCCAAGAGCAAGCTGACATGCTCCATCTGCCTGAAAGAGTTCAAGAGCCTGCCTGCCCTGAATGGCCACATGCGGTCCCACGGTGGAATGAGGGCGTCCCCCAGCCTCAAACAGGTTAGCAGGACCTAGTCCCTGGTCCTTCTCAAACCATGTGCTGCTTGCTTTGCTTTGCCGCCGTCAGAAAAACTGTGTGAGAAATTGGGATGGGAGCCCTATGTGGGCACCTGGGGAGGCATAGTTCTCCCCGAACCAGATAAGACTTCAGCTTGGATGCTGGGAACCAGCCAGGTCAACAGCCCTACTTCCCTGGCCTTACGAAGAACGATCAAATAGGGGCCTCTCTACTTCTCAGAGAAGACAGGAAAAAAAAAAAAAAGACCCACATATGTAAATGCCACCTTATTTTTAATTTTTGCTACTTGAAGGACCCAAATCGACAGCCATTAGAGCCTTCAAGATCAGTGGTCAGTGGCTAAGGAAAGAGGATGTAACCATCAGGCACTCAGCCAGAATTTTGTGTTTGCCAGTGCAAAGGTGTTTGGTTCTAGTATCCAAAGAGCCTTAAACACCCTCTGGATTATCCACGTAGAATATCTAGGTAGTATACTGTCCATGAATTAATTAAGTTAATTAAAATTCAAAGAATTTTCTCAGAATTTCTTGATCTTAAAGTCTAAGAGATTATTTCTGTGTTAATCAAAATGTGGATTACCCAGATCTGTTCATCTCCTGGCCAGGCCAGATAAAAGAACTTCACTTTTTAAAAAAATAACAGGTTTTGCATTTTCAGTGTGATTTCTTAACCCAAATAAAATATAGGATAGGTGGCCAATTTCAGCCTGACATAGAAAACTGAAGCCCATGGAATTAAATGCTCCTACAGAAGATCACGTATTTTGTTTTTACTGATTACAAGTCAGTGTCATTGTCCTTAAAAGCAATGACAACCACAAAATTTTTAAAAATATTTTAACATACAAGTGATATATGGTCAAGATGTTTTAAATGTAGAAAACAGAATGCATGGCCTTATGTACCTCAACTGCCATTACTAAACCTAGGGACCCAGGCTTGTAGGAAGGAAACCACTGGCAGCAGTGGTTCCCTGTCACCCACACCTGATGTCCTGGAATCTTTTGGGAAAAGCAAGTGCATCATCCCCTTTGGGAGAGCTGCTCTCAGCCCAGGATCACAGCCTTTATTGTCTGTGTAGGAGGAAGGAGAGAAGGCCCAGCCGCCTCCGCCCCAGCCGCCACTGCCGCCTCCGCCTCCACCGCCACCGCAGCTCCCTCCCGAGGCAGAAAGCCTCACGCCTATGGTCATGCCCGTGTCTGTCCCTGTCAAGCTTCTCCCGCCCAAGCCCAGCTCTCAGGGGTTCACCAACAGCGTCGTTGCCGTCCCCTCCGCCAGAGACAAGCCAGCCAGCTCGGTGTCGGACGACGAGATGCCTGTGCTCGTGAGGATGACCCTCTCTCCCCCTCACTCCCCCCAGGGGGCTGCCCCCCACGCGCCTGCTGTGAGTTGCTGCTCTGCCCCACCTGCCTGGAGTGGGGACATCCCTTTGCTTTCTTGGAGATGGGGATAGCTCTTCCAGAGTCACTGACCTGACCTCCTCTTGGGGCTGAGCCCCCCCTGGCCACCTGCCCACTGCCCTTTAAACACCTGTTACTCTTCCAGGTTGATGGGCTGCATTAGACACCTCAAGGTGTTCCCAGGTTTAAACAGAGGATAATTTGGTTGGAAGTCACCAATACAACCATGCCAGTTATTAAAATATGGTATGATTTATCCAGGTAATATCAGCTGTTGCCCAGGGCCCTGACTATTTCCCAGGACCACTAGACCTCCCCAAATCCAGCCACCAAAGAGGTAACCCCTGGAACCGCAGGGCCTCAAGGCTGTAGCCCTGGCATCTATTCTGATGATCAGCCTTAACACATGTTTAATATTTTCAACATCATATCTGAGAACCCAATTTGTTCAAGTTCCCAAAGTAGTTCTACTGAGAGCCACCTACCCCTAATCTCAGGAAAGCAAAGTGATTTGTGTTTCTCACTGAACTGTTAACGTTCTCCTTCCCTTCCTCAAATTCCTCTCTTTCTCTCTCTCTCTCCTGGGGAGACTGACTGTATCACACTTGTCCCTTCCCACAGAGTAGTGTGTTGGGTCCTGTTTCTCCTTAGAGAATAGATGGTTGCTGAGAATCCAGGAGGCAATGAGAGTAGAGCTGAGCTAGAATAGGATTGGAGTGCACAATTAAGGGAACTAGGAAAGTCCAGAAAGAGACAGTTTGGTTCTATGTGATACCAAGGCCTCAGAAGAGAGACCGATAGAGAACCTCCAGAGGTGAAGATTCTCAGAAGATGACAGGAGGGCGTCAGCAACAGGCAGAGATGAAATGGCATATCCAAGCCACCTCTCTGCTCAGGGAAGTTCCTGATTTAAATGCACTGCATTTAATCTTGGAGAAATCTCAGTCAAGGGTTCCTAGTCACACAGTAGTCACAGTCCAGGCAACATAACCAAGACTCATTCATTCAAGATGGTGGCTGAAGAGATGGATGGCAATGCAGACAGTCCCCTTACAAGTTTTCAACTTTACAGTGGTACAAAAGTGCATTCAGTAGAAACCATACTTTGAATTTTGAATATTGATCTTTTCCTGGGCTAGCCATATGCAGTTCAGTTCTCATTCACAATGCTGGGCAGTGGCATCAAGCCACAGTGCCCACCATCTCTAGGGGAAATAACTAAGACTCCATAGTGCGCTATGATCCTAAGGTAGGATGCTCAGTAGGTTAGGGGTGTTCAATGCATTTCCACTTAAAATACTTACAATGGGTTTATGGAAACATAGCCCCATCATAAATCAAGGTGTGTTTGTACACCAGGTGGCCTGAAGTAATGAGGCACTAGGGACAGACAAGGGAGTTTGGTGTGAGTTTGCACAGGAGATCATTGTAGGGAAGTTCTGAGCAGGCTTTGAAGGGAGGGATGAAGTTGGCTTAATTGCAGGGTAAGAGACTTTCTAAGTCGAGAGATAGGCTGAAGTGGAAACATGGGGGTGGAATTGAATGAATGTGAGCAAGATCCTGGCACGCGATGTAAAGAAATTAAAATGTCTTAGAGGAGCCTTGAATTCTGAGCTCTATGTCTCACCAAATAGGACAAGGGCAGTTGAGCTCCTTACCCTCTGAGAGTCTTGATTTAATCCCTTGAACTAGAGAAGGTTGGACTCATCAATAGTTCTCCCAGTTCTCTGTAGCCAGAAGCTCTTTTATTTTATTATTTGTTCTTTCTAGTTATACAGGACCATAGAATGTATTTTGACATATCATACCTACATGGAGTACAGTTTTTGTGGTTGTACATGATGTTGTAGCCAGAAGGTTTTAAAAGCTCTTGGTGCTTGTCCGCACTTCCAGAATCCAGATAGCTTAGTGGGGTGGAACATTGCAAATACTTCCTGTCACATGACAGCCAAGTGTGACATTCTGAGTAGCTTCTCTGGTCCAAGTGGCTCACAGCCTTGCCTGGAGGATGAGAAAATCCTAGAATAGAGGTGGAATAGCAGGACAGGAGGCTAGAGGAGAAGGCCAAAAGGGACCTCAGGCCCTGTGATCTAAAGTCTAGATTCCAGGGCAGAGCTGAGATCACTGTGAGGTCCACGTGTACTTACATGACCTCATCAGTCACCCAGAAACAGGGCTAAAGTTTCAGGATTGCTCCTCAGTTGGCATTGAGCAGGGAGTTGTTGAGCCTCCTTCCTTCATTCTCCATAGCTGCCTCTCTCCACCTCAGCCTCCTCTCTGTACCTTGGCCTCCTCTCCACCTCAGTTTTCTCTTTCCACCTCAGCCTTCTCTGTCCACCTTTCTCTACCTCAACCTCTCTTCATTTCAGCCTCTCCCCCACAGACTCAGGCGGTGAGGAGCCCTCTGGTGGGGAGAAGAGGTGGGCTATGGAGCTGTGGCCTGAGAGCCCCCTGTGGCTGAGGCAGGACTTAGGAACCTCCACACTGAAGCCTGGAGCCTGAGACCCTCTGCTGCCTTCTTTCCCCAGCTCTCTGCCTTCCTAGACTCCAGTCTTAGAAGTTGGCAAGGCACCTTGGAAGACAAGGATGCTGAGGGAGAGCCTGTTGCAAGCAGGAGGAGCTCAGAGATAAGGGGCCCAGTGGGGCAAGTCACATGGTCTGGAGGCAGCCAGTCACATGACCATGGCCAGCCCTTCCCATCACCCCCTGCTGTTGCTCCTATCTGGCGCCACCCTGGGCTCAGGGGTTGCTGGGAACTGCAGCTGTGACTGGCCCCTGACTTGCAGTGCTCAGGAGGGTACCTCAGACTGCTCAGAACCTTTCCACAGGTATCCCTGCCGCCTCCCCCACCCACATCAGCCCTTGACCTTTCAGGGCTGGTGCTGGCACACAACCCAAGTCTGTTTCTGTTTGGCTTTGGCATGCCCTGCTTCTCTATTGACGTGCATGTGTTTACTTATTGAGTATATATGTATCCATGTGGCAGATCTTCCTTCCAGACTAAGCTTGGTTCCGTTGCCATAAAATAAACTAACTCTGCTGACAGGAAGCCGGCCCAGGAGGAGGGCTTGCTACAAGTGAGCTGCAGTGCAGCGCAGCAGTGAGGGGTGGGCAGGGGGGGAGATTGAGCAGATCCCCAGAACGGGGCCTTCGGGGTCGCAGCAGGCCTGGGCCTTCAGGATCACAGCAGAGCCCAGGGAGGGTCGCCGGCCCTGGGAGCCCTGCCAGGCTGCGCCCCTCTGCCCTGCTGCCCTGAGCGGATGGTTCTGCCCCCTTCTCAGAACATGGGCTCTCTGTCCCCGCGGAGCCCACTCAGCTGGATTCCACTCAAGCAGATGGGAATGTAGTGAGAAGCCAAGAGAATCTGAATTGATTTCTTTGGCCCACCCACCCTTCCCGTCACCCCCGGCTCGCTCCGGACATCAGGGGCGGCTTCCCAGACCCCCGATTTCCTCCTGGCCCAGCCACCAGAACCCGCCTTGGCCGAAGCGGATGTGGTGGGAGCGGGAGAGGGACAAGCGGAAGGGAGTCCGTCCCCATAGAGACCCCTTCCCCGCACCCGTGGGGCTGGCCTGTGGCGGGGAGCCTGTTTGAATCAGGTCGTTGTCCCGTCTGTAGGAAATCCCCCGGAAACACCAGCCCGCCGTGGCCAAGGCTGAGGAGCCCCTCAAGACCGTGCAGGAGAAGAAGAAGTTCCGGCACCGGCCCGAGCCCCTCTTCATCCCACCTCCGCCCTCCTACACCCCGAACCCCGCCTCCTACTCCGGCGCCACCCTGTACCAGAGCCAGCTGCGCTCCCCGCGCGTCCTCGGGGACCATCTGCTGCTGGACCCCACCCACGAGCTGCCCCCCTACACGCCCCCGCCCATGCTGAGCCCGGTGCGCCAGGGCTCGGGGCTCTTCAGCAACGTCCTCATCGCGGGGCACGGCCCTGGCGCCCACCCGCAGCTGCCCCTCACGCCCCTCACGCCCACCCCGCGGGTGCTGCTGTGCCGTTCCAGTGAGTCGCCTGTCAGCCCCATCCCTGTCTGTGCTGGGTGCTGTCCTTCCCCGGGGGCAGGGTTGGGGGGGGGGTGTCTCAGGCTCTTCAGCTGTCTATGATTGACCCCACCGATTTATGTGGAATATCTGTTATATGTACCAGAGACGGTGCTGGGGTGCTCAGATATTCTTAGATACAGCCCTCATCCTCAAGGGAATCACAGTCTCATTGAAAGAAAAAAGTGATGTGATCCCTACCATCTCTTTGGGATGAGGAAATAGTTTTAGGTGCACATGCTCAGACTGTCTTGGATGATGGTAGAAGACATAGAATAAACATTTAGTAGTGATTAGGTATGATATGCAAGACCAGGCCTTGACATTTTAGCAGGCTTTATAAAGATCAAGCATGAAAAGTTGGGTGTCATGGTGCCAGCCTGTAGTCCCAGCTCCTCAGGAGGCTGAGGCAGAAGATCACTTTGACTCTTTTGAGTTCCAGGCTACTTTTGAGCTACTGGGCTACATAGCAAGACTAAGTCTTTACCAAAACAAAACATGAGAAGCCTGTGGTCAAGATCTCTTTCTAGAGCAAGAATACTTGCACAGGAACCACACCGTAGCTTAACAGGCCAGTGTGGGACAGGTTTCTCAACCTGTGTGAGAAATGGCTGGCCTTGAGCCACTAGAACCACATTGCATCCAACTCTCTGGTGAAGGACATGGGTTGGTGGAGGAGCAGGCCTGTTATGACTGGTAGGCTAACAGCTCATTTGCTTCAGTTTCTTCAGCCTTGCTTCCCTGTTGGCCAGTAACCTCAGGTTTTGTTGTTGTTGTTGTTGTTTGTTTCAGATAGCATTGATGGCAGCAACATGACGATCACCCCAGGGCCTGGAGAGCAGACCGTGGATGTTGAACCGTAAGAAAAAGCCAATTATTTTTTAGGACAGAAGTCTCAGCTGAAGAAAGGGATCAGGGGCTTTGAGAAGAGTAGTCAGTACCTTTAAGTCAGAGAGGCCAATGATAGAGAAGTTGTGGAAATGTAGGACTTTGGTATTTCTTCAGTACTCTTATTTCCCTGTAGTTGCCAATATTTCAAGATCTTTGCCAAAGCCTAAATGCATAGTGAAAGAGTAAAGCACTGGATTCAGAGAACTTAACATCCCTGTCTCTGGCTTCATAAGCTAATCTAGGTGGACCACCATGCTTTCACATCCCCAGTGACATTGAGGCATGTCTAGATGTCCAGACTTCTTAAGAGACTCCTCCTGCTTTCCCAATTCCTCTGTCAGATTCTTGGCCACGCTTCCAGATGAGCTTGTTGAGTACTTGAATCATGCATGGGCAGTACGAGGTACAGTAGTCCCTGCTTATCCATGGAAGATATGTTCCAAGACCTCCAGTGGATGCCTCAAATCTCCAATAGTACCAGACCCTATATACAAATACTGCAATGCCTCAGTACTCTAGCTGATATCTTAGATGGCTACTAAGTGATGAACAGAGGGGTGGTGTATACAGAGTAGATACTCTGGACGAAGGGATGATTCACATCCTGGGGGGGGGGGATAGATTTCATCACATTACTCAGAATGACATAAAATTTAAAACTTATAAATTGCTTATTTCTGGAATTTTTCCACTTAATATTTTCAGACCTCAGTTGACCATGGGTAACTGAAACCACAGGACACAAAACTGGAGATAAGGAGGCACTATTGTATTAGGGAAGGGAAAAGTTCTTTCAATGGATAATCACAGAAAAGGCACTAAGTAGTGGAGTATACTGAGTCAGAAATCAGAAAACTCCAGTTCTGGCCCATTTTGGTTTTTATCTGTATCAAGTTAACCTTTCTAGACTTGGGTTGACTCTTATTAAATAACTATTAGTGTCTTGTGTACATCACAGATCTCTGTTAGGCTAAGAGAATAATGTATTTAAAAGTGATCTGAAAGGGATAAAAAATTATACACAAACCTTAACCTTATATTCGTCTGTCTTTCCTGATGAAATGGTACCATCAGCTATGCTCTGGGCAGCTGTTTTCTTTGAATTAGTCCCCTTTCCACTCCAGTTACAGAGCACTAGAAAGGCTCCAGCTTGCTCCCTCGCTCCCCCTAACAATTCTCCCCAATCTTAAAGCTGTTCCTTATCTCAGTGAAGAAGCCATGCCTGGAATCTTAGGGTCACACTGTAAGGAAATGCCCCTGCGTTCTTCTTGCAGAAGGAACTGGTTTTCTTCTTTTTCAAGTTCCTGACAGTTGCCCTTGGCTTAGGCCATCAAATTCAAGACCACACTGTTGTTTTTCTTCTTGTTACTAAAGACGCATCAACATTGGCTTGAGATTCCAAGCAGAGATCCCAGAACTCCAGGATGTCTCTGCCCTGGCCCAGGACACACACAAGGCCACACTGGTATGGAAGCCTTGGCCAGAGCTGGAAAACCAGGACCTCCAGCAGCGAGGTATTGGCATATGGGAGAAGCTGGGTGGGTGAAGCTTGCTGCTCTCACTGGAACCTCCGGCTCCAGGATGATGTGTTTTTCTGTGATGCTGAGCTTTCTCTGATGCACTGGTTCTCTTTATTCCCAACAGTGGAGAATCTTCTGAATTTGTGCTGTTCAAGTGCATTGCCAGGTGGAGGGACCAATTCTGAATTTGCTTTGCACTCTCTCTTCGAGGCCAAAGGTGATGTGATGGTAAGGAACCATGAGAACGAGGTGTCACAATTAGAATTCTGAATAGTATTTCCCCAAGTGTCTGTATTGCCCCATGAGCCATACAAACAGTTTGTAAGATGATGGCCAGTCCACATGCCTCTGTGTTGCTTATCTTAGTGAGAAGTCAGGATTTAAAAGCCTGCAGAAAAAAAACTCCAGTTGGACTTCTTTTCTACACATCTGTACTTAAGCAATAATTGTGAGCACGTCTGTCTTAGGAAATTAGAATTTCTTTTCATCCATCTTGTATTTCATATCAGAAAAACTATTACTGTCTTGTGTACAAGTTATTCTCATTATTGAAACAAGAGTTTGCTCAAAGTAGCCTGTCACACTTGCAGATGGTCCTCCTTGCTATGAAAATCAGCAAAGTTTGGTGTTTACAGAATCTTTTTACTTCTAACCCAATGAAAAGTGTACAGTTCACCAGTTGGTTCCATTCTTCCATCTTTAACACAGTTTTACAGGTGTCCCCTTATTGCCTTCTGGCTAGATCACTCCATCAGTAACCTCATTTCCTCTCTGTATAAATACATGGTTCTTCCTCATACTGGATCCAGCTTCCTGCTTTTAGATTTTATGAAAATGTAACAGTAAACTGATGGCTCAATGCCATGATACCCTTCAAGTACTTGTGTAGAATAAGACTACACTTAGGAGGAGTTGGAGAACTCTTCTTCACCCTTTGAGGTTAGGGTTGCAGAGTAGCACTCCTCAAAGTTTTAATGTACACAAGAATATCTGAGGAATCTTGTTAAAATGCTTGTTCTGATCCAGCGGGTGTGAGGTGGGACCCAAGGTTCTGCATCTAAACAGCTCCCAAGTGATGCTGGCACTGATGATCTGTGGGTCACACTTGGAATATCAAGATTCCAGGCTTTGCTCCATACACTGCTCAACTCTGCCTGCAGTGTTTTATTGTGGTGGTGGTAGTGGTGGTGGTGGTAGGTTTTTGTGGTACCAGGGATTAAACGCAGGGCCTCACACATGCTAAGCAAGTGCTCTACCACTGAGATACACCCCTAACCCTTTTTAAATTTTTATTTTGAGGCAAGTTCTCGCTAAGTTGTCTACACTGACCTCAAACTTGTGATACTCCTGCCTCAGCCTCCTGAGTAACTGGGATTACAGGTGTGCGCCACTGCACTTTAAAAAAAAACACTTCCTGCAGTGTTGTTTTTAAAACCCATCGAGGCAGATCTAAAAGGTTTAATTTACTTAGTGAGGCTTTCTAGGGGGGCTACTTGTTTATTCCTAATACAGCTGCTTACGTTCAGTTGTAATGAGACATGATTTTTGTGTAATACAATTACAAATCTCCCACTCATTCCTTTGAAGCCCTTCCCAGAGACAATCCCCGTCTCTCTGAGGCTGGTGGGCCCTCACCTAGGAAGGAGTGAAGTCCCAGTCGCTGCCTGAGTGTGACATGTCCAGCTGGCTGCCAGCATGGGCTGGGGAGGGTGTCAGAATGAGGAGTCTTGTTGGGGGCTGAACAGAAAGCAAGCCCCAATTAGAGTAGTCTCTCTCTTCTTTCTAGTGCCTCCGTCCCTGGGCTCAGCAGGGCTAATCGCTTTCCCCTTTGGGTAGATGATCTCCGTAGGATACACAAACCTGTCACTGACTCTTGTCTTTTCTCTCCTCTGGATCCACAGGCTGCTCTGGAAATGCTGCTGCTGCAGAAGCCAGTCAGGTTAAAATGTCATCCTTTAGCAAATTACCACTATGCCGGTAGGTTGCCAGGAGCTCTGTGCCCCGTTGATTCCTGAAAGCAGGCTGCTTGCATGTTTGGCTGTGTCGCTTTTTCATAATTTTTAATAACAAATAACACTGGTTCTGTCCTAATCACCATTTGTGATCTCAAGCCTCCTGGGACCCAGCAGATGGATATGTTTGTGTCGTTGGCCCAGCACTGTGAGGCCTTTGTCTAGGTAGGCACTCCTGCTTCTCATGGGTGTGCCAAGACCTGTGTGATAGTAGAATGTGCTTGCACAAGTGGAAGTGAGGCCCGTGAACTGGTGAGGATAGAGCCACAGAGGGTACAATACAGAGCTGGTGCCCATCAGCAGCCCCCAGGGATTTGGAACCAGTAGCGGTAGGTCCAGACCTTGGCTACACCCTTGACCAAGTCCCTTGGCCTTCTGCAGCCTTATTTTGTGCAATGCTGAGGATTGAACCCAGGGCCTTGAACATGCTAGGCAAGCACTCGACCACTAACCTTAAATTTTTTTCCACTGTAAAATGGGATTCATGTTCTATCCCTCGTAGAGTTGTTGGAAAGGTAAGAGGTAGTATTTGTAGCCCCAGGTGTGGCACATTCTTTTTAGCTGCTGTTATTCATTTATTCATCTGTTACTTATTGAAAATTTACTGTGTACAAAGGATTGTGCTGAGCACTAAGATACAACAGTGGCTGTGACAGACATTGACAGAGTCCTGCTGTGCAGCTTAGAGGAAGCAGTTCTTAAACAATGGGTCACTCTAATGACAGGAGAAAGACGTCATACACACAGGGTTTGGGGAGTGTGTGGATTAATGGTAGCATTACCAGTAAGAGGGAAGAAGATGCCTTTGAGATTTGAATGGAGTGTGAAGCATACAGAGACAGGGAAACTAGTTGGGGAATCTGAGAGGTGACAAAGAAAGCTGAGGTCAACATCTTTATGTCCATTAACTCTGGTAAGCCTGTTCATTCTGAGGTCTTCACAATTCTGCCCTGGTTCTCTATATTTCAGAGGGGCTGAATCTCAAGTGCCCCTTGATTTTTAGTTATTTCAGGGTTTCCTGGTGCCTTGAGCAGAACCTGCCCAGGTGGATGCTGAACATCTGGGCATTCAGACCTAGTAATACTCTTTCCAGTCTTTGGTACAGGTGACCAGATGTGGCCTAAGGTGAGGGCTTCTTTTTTTTTTTTTTGAACTCAGGGTTACTTAACCACTGAACCACATCCCCTTTCCTTTTTTATACTTTATTTAGAGACAGGGTCTTGCTGAGGCTGACTCTGAACTCATGATCCTCCTGCCTCGGCCTCCCAAGCCACTGGGATTACAAGTCTGGCAAGTAAGGGCTTCTTTACAGATACTGAAGTGTCCACCATTTGCCTTACTCATGAGTTGGTTTTCTGCCTGTTGTCACTGGCTGGAAAGTCTTGAAGTCCCTCAATATTTACAGCAAGCCCAGGCCAGGCTTCTTCATTAAGCAGGTGTGGTGTCACACGCCTATAATCCCAGCTACTGGGGAGGCTGAGGCAGGAGGAGGGCAAATCCAAGTCCAGCCTGGGTCACTTAATGAGACTGTCTAAAAATGAAAGAAAAAGGGCTGGGGATGTAGCTTAGTGGTGAGCACTCCTGGGCTTAATTGCCAGTACCACCAAAAAGAAAAGAAATCTATCTTTGAACCAGTGTCCTAAGTATTCAATTTCTTAATATCATCTCCATCATTTCCTGTCTGTCCCAAGAGTGGGTTGAAAGATGTGGGAGTTCTCTTTAATCTGCCATGGAAACAGTCCCATCTTCTCTTAATTTCCGCCATCATCTGCTGCCCATTAAGCCCTGACAGGCTGTCCAGCCTCCTGGAGCCTGTCCCAAGCTTCTCTGCATAGTGGACTGGCTAAAAGGAGCTTCCCAACTGTGGGCTTTGAGATGCTGCCTCCCTCTGCCTCAGTGTGGCTGGAGTGGCCAGAGCCTCAGGGTTAGTCATGTCCAGTTATAAACAACCTCATATGACACAATTCCCCTCCAGTCCTTCCCAGTGTGTCAAATAAATATTATTTTTATGCGTGTCATGACATGAAAAAGACTGGAAAACTGTGGGCTAGAAGCCCCATGTAGTCCCAAGCAAAATAACTTAAAAGCACCAAGACATTACCAAGAATGTGAAACCAGAAGGTCCAAAACTCTGCTAAAATAAATTGATCATTTGGGGTTGGAGGCCCATAACTAATCTCTTACCCATCTGCCCTCCCCTTCCTCCCCAGGCAGACAGGGAAAGACTCTTGCTTTCTGGACTCATTTGAGAGTGAGAGGTAATGAGAGGTGAAGCTGAGGTGTGAAGGGTCAGCATCTCCAAGGAAAAGAGTGCTCACCTATATCTGCTAGTCACTTGCTTTCTCCAGGAAGTGACTGCAGACCAGGCCCCAAAGAATATTCTAGAATTTTGAACAGAAAGGGCAGAGGTCACTGCTCCCTAAAGTCTGACCAAACTCCATGCCCTTAGCAGTAGAGGAGGTGGCAGAGTCCACCCCATCCCATATCCCACCTCCTTCCCTCCACTCCTGACCCCCCCTTGTTTGGTTCTTTGGTGGCGGTGAATCCCACCCCTCATGGCCTCACACTGTCTTGGCTCTTCTGTTGAGGTCCATCCACTTGCTCCCCAGTAGGACTGTCGGCTCAAATCCAGCCTCACCAGAACACTGTCTTTTAGAGCTCCTTTAGCTTCCAGCTCTGCAGCTGTGGCCAATATCACCCACCACAACTCCTGATCCTGGGATTGTATGTTAGGCTTCCAGTTACCGAGAGAAAGAGGTCAGCTCTCCAGGGCCTATCTGTGCCCTGGAGGGGAGGCAGCAAGGCTGAGCTCAGGGAGAGAGGCTGTAAGTTTGGGGGAGAAAGACAGACCTGTGAAGATCACTTCCTGGTTTGCTCATTACCTTCCCTTTCCCACTCCATCCCAAGCAATTCAGTAAGAAAAGGAAAAAGTGATCAATGCTGGGACCCAGAAGAGACATGCCAGGGGATGAAGGACCAACCAGTTGGGGTGGGCTGCTTACTACCGTGGTCAGCTGAGTCCTGTACAAGATTCTCAGAGGAAGGTACTGCAGCAGTGGCTCCCAGCACTCAGTTCACTCAAGGACACATGGTCCAGCTCACTGACCCTCTCTTGGTATTGCCCCCCCACACTGTCTACCCATGTGTAGCTTCCAGTGATTCCCAGTTGCCACTGGGTGGGGAAAGTCTAAGTGTGGGGAAACCAAAACAGGGAGGTGCCTGATTGTGATTAGTTGGCTTGCAGCATCCTTGGTTTCTCCACTGAACTGGTCATTCTGCAGATGGGCACAAAGTGGAGGGGGCTTGAGAGCTGGCCCTGGCGTCTTGGCCAGGGTCATAGAGACTATCAGCTTCCACCACAGCCTGGGCACCTACTGAGTCCTAAAACCCTGCCCTGAGCCCTAGAGATGAGGGAAACCTAGAGGAAACACCCATTCCTTGGTGGAGGCCTGTTCTCTGCCTTGGAAGCTGCCCCAGTTTGATGAGGAGACAGAATTACATTCTCAAGAGAATACTTTGTAAGAAACACAACTGTGGTTTCATTTTTCAGGCATTCTTTGCCCATGTCTCTAGCTGCATAGAGACACAGTCCCCTCAAGGCAGGAATGGAATTAACACTTGTCCTCTTGCCTTGCCTGACATAGCACTTGTGAAGAAAATGTTTAGTGGACAAGTTCAAAATATAGATTCAGATTGGGGCCTCCCTCCCTTTTGTCCTCAGGGGGAACTTTGGTAGCAGCTTGCTTCATCCTGTACCCTAAAAAAATTATCTGCCTTTCACCCACTATGAAAACCCTATAGAGAGGGGAAGTCAGGTATGAAACAATCCTCTTTTACAGTCTTTCTGGTGTAACTACAATAACAGCATCAAAAAAGTTTTTAAAATCCTGGAGGGAAGACAGAAAGGCCCTCTAAAAGATACTGTGTTCAAATTTCTCTCCCCCTCTATGTCTCTTTTTAATTGCCTGGGTTCACTGTAGATGGCCCCCAAATTAGCCACAGTCCAGAGCCTGTTTCCCAGCAACCGAAGCTCAGAGCATTTTTCCTCTGGATACTGTTCCAGCACCAGTTTTATCCAGTTAATTAGGCTCTTTGTCATTAGCCTTAATCGTCTTGTTAGGGGCCCCTACTGATAATAGCCCAACAGCCAGGAATCCCCAGGTGGAACAAATGAGTTTGGGGGGATGTCAGCCCACTAACCCTGGGTGCCTGCTGAGTGGGCAGCAGGGATCTTACAGAGAGGGGAAGGACAGAAGGAGAGGGGAGGATTTGTGGCAGTCCCCTGCCTCGGTTTTGCATTTTATCCTGGACTTTGTCCAAGATGCAGAATCCCAGAAAGGTTGGCGTAGATTCCTGTCTAAGAATGAGGAGAGTGCTTGTGTGCTGATAGACCCCAGATCACAGAACCGCCTGAGCCTTTCCTTGATGTTTGATTCCAGAGGGATTTTGGAGGCAGGGAGTAGAAGAAGAGGGAAGTAACAGGAGCACTGTGGATTATAAATACTCAGAGTAAGGAGCACACACAGGAACCTGTGGTCTTCATGAGGGCCCCTGGGCACACATCAGAGGGGCAGTGTGTGGCCTGTGACCCTAGGCTGATTTGGAATCGTCTCTCCAAGTGGCCAGTGAAGATCCAGAGCATCTATTGGGCACCTACTTAGGATCAGTCAATCACAGGGCAATGGCCACCATCCTCATGTCATAGGTGAGAAAACAGAAAAGTAGACTAGCCTGGGGTCACAAAAGGAGTGAGTGGCAGAATCACGTTCACACCTTCTGGAGGTGCATTCAGATGTTATTGTATGTGCCAGACTTTGGCTTGAAAATTCTACCTTGGAGCCCAGAGATGGAGACTCAATCCCTGTGGGTAGTCCTGAGATTAGGAGGCCAGTTGTAGTGTTGAGTGTGAGAATGGATTTGTTGCCTGGCCCAGCCTCTGCCCGTCACTTCATGGATGCCCTGTTGGACACACACACAGAGCATTGTCATTTGCACGTGAGCACAGATCCTGGAATTATGCAGAGAAGCCATCTCTTCCTCTCTAGACTGTGCTTCCTGCCCCAGCCTCGGAGTAAGACAATGGCACAGAAGAAAGGAAGCAAGCAGCCCGCTCCCCTTCAGGACAAGTTATGCAGAATGCACTCTGGGATCTGGACAATGAAAGATCCCATCACAGAGCAGCAGCCCTGGAAACCGCCTCGAGCTCTCCTTCTCCCACGGGGCCTGGGGATCCCCCATAACAGATGGGCCAGCAAGTCAGTTTGCCTCCTGTCAGGTGGCAGCTGATAGGCTATGTAGAAACATGAAAGGACGTGCTTTTCAGTAGCCGAATGACCTGGAAACCAGCTGCTCTTTGGACCAGAGTCAGGTGGTGAGCCTGACATGGAGTGGAGAAAAATGTGTCAGCTGGAGAGACAGGACAGTGGCTTTACAAGGCTGATGGCCCTGTGAGTGTCTTATTGAGTCTTACTCTACACTAACTCAGGAAACTTACAGTCTGGTTGAGGTTGGAAAGATTCTCATTGATGTAGGGAGAGGTTTTCCTCAGCTCTTTTTAATTTTTTTTTTGAGGGGGGCGGGCAGTACTTGGAATTGAACCTGAGGGTGCTCTACCACTGAGCTACATCTCCATCCCTTTTTATTTTTTGAGACCAGGTCTCACTAAGTTGCCCAGGCTGGCCTCAAACTTGCACTTCTTTTGCCTCAGACTCTCAAGTAGCTGGGATTACAAATGTGCTCCTCCACATGTAGTGACTCTTCTTCTCTTCCTTCTCCTCCTCCTCTCCCCGCCCTCCTCCCTCCTCCCTCCTCCCATCTTTACCTTCCTTCTCTCTTCTCCTCCCTTCTCCTTCTTCCTGGTGATTAAACCCAGAGGCACTTAACCTACTGAGCCACCTCCCCCCCACATCCCAGCTCTTTTTATTTTTTATTTTGAGACAGGGTCTCACCGAGTTACTGAGACTTGTCTTGAACTTGTGATTCTCCTGCCTCAGCCTCCTGAGTAGCTCGGATTATAGGTGTGTGCTTTCACATCTGATTGACCACCTTATAAGTTGGTGTGACATGTCACTGTGGTAATCTTCCATTATTATTATTTATTTTTATTTTCTTTTCTGTTTGTTATTTTTATGGACACCTAAAAGGAACCATGACTTTTTGGTCAGTCAGCTAATTTTTTTTTTAAGGTTTCTTGCTTTGCTAGCAAAAGAGAAACATAGAGGACTCCTGTATCAAAGACTGTGATTCTTCCATCCACAGGAACAGGGGGTGCTTTTTTTTTTAATATTTACTTTTTGGTTGTAGTTGGACACATACCTTTATTTTATTTATTTATTTTTATGTGGTGCTGAGGATCGAACCCAAGGCCCCTCATGTGCGAGGTGAGTGCTCTATTGCTGAGCTACAACCTCAGCACGCTTTTTATTTTTTTCAGTGTTCATTTTTTAGCTGTAGGTGGACATAATACCTTTATTTTATCTTCATGTGGTGCTGAGAATCGAACCCAGTGACTCACACATGCTAAGCAAACGCTTTTCCTCTGAACCACAACCCCAGCCCAGTCAGCTAAATTGGTTGGTTAATCCTCTCTCTCTTCCTCTTTTTGTTCTACTCGTGGGAGCAGTTGGGAGAGGGGACCTCAAGGCCTGGGATTTTGGAAAGAATCTGATGAATGGTGATAGAATGGCTGAAGAGCTCCAAGCCTCACCAACCTCCTCTGCTCATGTCCACTCCACAAGATGTCTCCAAGCCCCCCTTCTCCTTCCTGTTGCTGGCTTTGCACAGCCAAAGAGGTCCAGGCCTCCAGAACCTGTGGAATGTGCTTCCTGCTGCTGAGGATTCACTGCAAAGCTTCTTTCCTTCTAGAAGTGAAAAAGATAAACTTGCAAACCAAAGAAATTGAGTAATTACTGTGCTTTGTAGAGGTTTGAACTAGCCCAGCTTCAGAGACCATATTCTTCGAGAGCCAGAGCTTTGGCTAGAGGATGCATCAAGGAATCACAGAAAAAGTGTTGGTTTACATCACTGAGGCACTTATTCCCTCAAGGATCCTAGGATCCTTGCCCAACACTTAAAGAGGCACCTGCCTGCTCAAAGTGGTTTCACCTGATTTGCTGATTTTACTTGAATCTTCGAAGAGAAGAAACAATGCAGGTTTCCTGTTCTCCATACCTATCAGTTGCAAAATGGAAACCTTGGACTAACCCTGAATGGGAGAAAAGATTCTGTGGTTTGGGGAGCCAGAGCTCTGAGAAGTGGTGGAAGAATGTCAAAGGCCTAGCCATGAACTATCTAAAGAATCAGACATGTTGAGAATGTGGCAAGCCAGAATAGTGAGGTTGAGTTTTCTGTGAACCACCCACAGTAGCTGAACCTTCCTTAGAGATCCCAGGAGATCACTAAGGAAGTTTTCTCTTGCTACAGTGAAATAGCTGAGGCTGAGTACTTTTTATAAAAATGTACTTAGTTCACAGTTTTGGAGATTAAAAGTCCAAGATTGAATGGAGCCATCAGTTTGGCCTCTGGCAAGGGCCCTTTTACCATCACAACTTGTGGGATGGCGTCATGATATGAGCACATACAAAGAGAACCCATGGTGAGACGGGAAGCCAGAGAGTGACTGGGGAGGAGCTAGTAATGGCATCCCTCAGGCCTCCAGCTCTCAAAGTTTCCACCAACTCTTAACATGACCACACTCCTAACATATGAACCCTTGGAGAACACACTCAAACCATGTCCAAACCATAGCAAGCACCTTTAGATGGTGGCTTCATTTCTTACTCCACACAAGCCAGTACCATTCTTTATGTCATTAGCATATCTGACTTTCTGTTTTGTGGAGGTAAAACATGAATATTTAATTTCACCAGCAAGGCACTGCACCAGCCCAGCACCGTAGACTCCCTCATCAGTGCAGATCTGTTAAGAACTGATCCCTCTCACCTCTCCAGCCTCCTCCACCTTCCCTCTGCCGTAACCCTGTGATTGAACCATACTAGACTGTGGTCTAGTATAAATAAATGGAAGACCCGTTTCCTCATCTGTAAAATGAGACAATAGTAATTCAGTCTTACAGGGCTGTTAGTAGAACCTAATGATTAATGATATAGGACACTTAGAACCTGGCATGTGTGCTAGCTCTTTCTTGTTGGCACATCGTTTGCTTATAGTAGACACCTAGTAAATCTATCTCAAGTGAATGAATGAGTGGATGAAGTGAGCGTCTCTGTTGCCTCTGGCTTGCAGCTTGCAGCCTGCTGCTTCCTCTCCCCAGAATCCAATCCCAACTTGCCTCTGTGCGTCCTTTAAACTCCACTCAGGTGTTTTCTCTACCTGGAAACTTTCCCTATGACCCTGACCCCAGTGTGGTTATTCCTGCTTTCTGCCCCATTGGAACTCACCTTTACCTTCAAAATTGCAGTTTTTACCTTGAACTCAATATCCTACTGGTTTGTCTCTGCACTAGATTGTGAGCATCGAGAATCCATCCACACTTGAAGAATGCTTTGCTGCATGACTGCTGACTCTCAAAAAAAATAATGATTATGTAAAAGCTAAACAATAATTATGTAAAAGCTAAAATTCATTGAGTGCCCACTATTTCCCAGTTATTAAAGCTGAGCATGCTTGTGCATTATCTTCTTTAACCTTCACAAAAACCTAGAAACAATTATAACTATTTTCATTGGTAACAAAACTAAGTCAAGGTCAAGGCCATAGCTGCAATTTGGAACTCCAGTGTCAGCTAACCATTACACTATACCAGCTTTTTGTTCTCAGAAGTTTGATATGCATTATATAACTTGCTAGGCTATTGTGTTGTATAACTTAACTAAACAAACCAGCAACTAAAGGTGGGGAGAGGAAGCAGCAACTGTGAGCTGTTCTTATAAAGTTTTTTGTTTCCTTGTAGGTACGGACAAGTGGACCTCCCTAGAAAGAAAACTGTTTAATAAAGCACTAGCCACTTACAGCAAAGACTTTATTTTTGTACAGAAGATGGTAAGAATGATTTCCTCCATTGCTTACTTGAAATTAAATTTGGAAAACTGTGCACCCATACTCAGTATATACCTGTATTCAGAAATTTTGGTTTGCAGGTTTAGCATCCTCACAAAAAGCCTGTCTTTTTTGCTCACTGGTGAAGAAAGGTAGTTGTTATAGGTGACCTAGCCCGAATGTTGGGGTGACGGGAAGAAGATGGAGGGAAAGAAGACAGATTATTTGGATGCTATTGTATTGGTGTCTATCTTAAGAAAAATGTGTGATTCCTAACTCTGTCAGAAGAACTATAACGGGGGCTTCTGGTTCACAGCTCACCTAATTTACCTCAGATGTATCTAACCAAGCTATGTAACAAATCTATTATGTTTCTGACGGAATCCTCCTGGGGTATTGTGGAAGGGAGGACACGTAGCCAATCCAGTAGCAGAGTGTCTGGAGTTAGATGGCAGGAAAATACCTTCCATGTACAACATTTTATAGCAAAATAAAACTTTCCTATAAGTAAACATCACACTTCATACAATAGATATTAAACTCAGTAGGCTTTAACTGACTGAGAGGTATTTTAGGCTAAAAAATTAAAAAGATTCAGTGTTTCAACAAACTGATGAATGATGGGGCCATATTGCATTATGAAGGATAATTAAGGATGTTCCAAGTATACAGAGAGCAGGGTTACATATGACAGCTCCCACTGCCTCCTGGTTGGTCCCAGTGTCCTAGGGTAAAGTGTCTCCAGCTGTTAATCCAAGGCCTTGTCGTGCCTTTACTGCTACTACCTCCTTGGCTGCCCCATGTGCTGAAAGGTTCCCATGCTCCCATTTTTCTTGAGCCACCTTTCCCCAGGACCAATCTGGTGTCAGCTTTTTTCATTACTATGACAAAATACTTAAAGCTGGGAAACTTTATAAAGAAAAAGTTTATTTAGCTCATAGTTTAGGGGATGAAAGCGTAAGATCAACCATGTTGGTTCAGCCTCTGGTGAGAGCCTAACTGCCGATGACATCATGGCAGGAGCACATGCAGAAGTGGGAGGTCTTGTCCTGAGGCAGGAAGCAGAGCATTCTTACAGCAACTCGCTCTTGCTCTTTGAGAGTCACCCCTTCACAGGGGAGCACCCTCAGTGACCTAGGTCCTCCCACCAAACCCCACCTCTTAAAGATTTCAGTCTCCTAACACCATCCTGGCTTCTGAACCTTTGGAGGACAAACTACATCCAGACCTGTGCTCATTGTGACAGTGAATTCGTGTGCTGTGCTAGCCAGGAGATGTAGATGTTTATTTGTTTTGTTTGTTTGTTTTTGGTACCTGGGATTGAACTCAGGGGGAGTCAACCACTGAGCCACATTCCCAGCCTTATTTCATTTAGAGACAGCATCTCACTGAGTTGCTTTAGGGCCTTGCTGTTGCTGAGGCTGGCCTCAACTCTCAATCCTCCTTCCTCAGCCTCCCAAACCACTGGGATTATAGGAGTGTGCCACCACACCAGCCAATGCAGGTTTTTAAGCAAGACTCTCTGGGATAGTGTCCTAACTCCCTGAGGTAATTCTAGTAAGAATCCTAGATTTCAGCTGCATGTTGAAAAAGACAACCTAGAAGAGAATAGGGCTTTTCATCTCATCATCACCCCCACTCTGAGGATAGCGCCACCCTTTATTCTGCATCCAGAAAACCCACCTGATTAAGCCCCACCTGAGCTCACACTTAAATAAAGGCATGTTTTCACTTTTAAATACATATACAGGTTGAGCAGCCCTAAGGATTTTGGAATATTTTAGATTTTGGATTTTCAGATTGAGAATGTAGAACTAGTAAAGTCTATGCAAATTTTCCAAATTTTTTTAAATCAAAATCTGAATATCTGGAGTGCTTACAGTTCCACACCTCTTGAATAAGGACCAGCCACCCTTGCCTTTTGAGGGATGAAGAGGGCAAGACTTGTTTCCTGCAGAAACCAAGCTCTATTATCATAACTCTTGCCTTATATTCCTATTCTAATACACACTGTTTATAAATAAATTTTGAAGGTCAACAAGTCAGAAAGCTAAGCACACCTAAGCATGTTAAATGAAAAAGCAACTATTAACCCAAGTACTATGTGTAACTATAAAGTTCTAATAAAATTTAAAAAAAAAAAAAAAAAAAGCAACTGCTTTTTCTGGGTTAAAAAAAGAAAATGAAAGTCTCTGAACTGATCTCTAAAACTCTCCAAGTGTCATTTTGAAAGCAATCAAGTTGTAAAAAAAAAACCTCCAGTGTGTTTGCTACCTCTTGTCAGGAAAGGTATGGAGGGAGAAATGCAGATTTGCACTTATTGGTACCTACATAAAGAAAATTCTGGAATTGTACCCAAGGAACTAGGAGGGGCTACTAGAGTTGCAGGGGTGAGGAGTGAGATCAGGTATGCGAGAGACACTTTTTGGTGTATTCATTGTTTATTGAATGTAGAAGCCTGTTAGTGACTGAACAAAACCAAATATTCAAAAAAGCTTCCCCGCTGCTGGAGTTCATCTCAAACGCACTCTCCTGACAGGTGAAGTCGAAGACGGTGGCTCAGTGCGTGGAGTACTACTATACGTGGAAGAAGATAATGCGGTTAGGGCGGAAACACCGGACACGACTGGCAGAAATCATCGACGACTGTGTGGTGAGTGAGGCGACTAAGTCAGTTGCTGCCTTGCTGGCCCCACTCCCACCCCACCCCCAGGTTAGTTAGTGGCTAGGTTTGGTTCGGCTTTGCCATGAAGATAAGTCAGACAGAAGTGGGTAGCAGTGTGTGGATAATCTCAATCTTTCCATCATTATTTAACCCTGGCCTTGATTTCCTTCATTAGCAGACAATCTAAAGTTTTCTGCATATTAAAATTAAGTACATACTAAGACCTAAGATGGAAGCAGTCTCTGAACCTTTATTGTGTGTGGCTTTGGTAATTACTATCACTTGAGATCCTTATAAACTAACTCCTTCTCTGCATCCATATCCAGAGGAAATCTCCTTTCCCCACTTTGTGGAAAACATTATCTTATCTATCATGTATGTGTATGTAAAATTATGTCTTAGAACAAATTACTAAACTATAGTCTTTATCACCATCTACAGAGTGTCTGGGATTCATGCACTATGTGAATATTTATAATCATATTCTTAGTCCCAGTTGTGCCCAGTAGTATTATTAGCACATATATGGGTTATTTTCTTTAACAGCAATTTAAACAGCATGTTCTGTGTGTTTGGCATTGTGCCAGACACTTTGCAGATATTATTGATTCATCTAATCCAATACAATTTATCTAATACCAATTCTGTAAGGTAGGAGAGTGAGACATGGAGTTTAAGTGAGGAGGCCATGGTCACCCAGTTGGTGAGTGTGTTGTTGGAGCCTGAGTCCCTTGTGGAATACTTAAGAACAGTCAGATGCAAATTTTCTTAGAGAAGTATAAAAACACTTGGGCTCATAATGCATTTTAGCTAAGAATTGATCCTAGCTTGTGGAATACACATGCATAGATACATTTATTGGTGGGCCCAAATGTCAGAGAAAATAAGAGAACTGCGTATTAGATTGGTGTTGCCATTTTAAAAATCAGAAGTGGCAGTATTCCATATTCAGGATTTCCTGTGACCAGGGCTTTTGTTTAAGTTGTGAAGTCATAACAGAATATCCTCTTGCTCATCTGTAGCCGAACGTTCAAAAAAACAGGGTGGCCTCCTCTAGTTCAGTCAACTAAAAGCTGTTGGTCCCCACAAGGTAAACAGTAACAAGTATGGATGTAAACAGCAAGGAGGTTAAATGGTATCTGCCTTCTCTCCACCCACCTCTCAGAGTATATATTCTGGTTGGGACATGCAACATATACAGGTGGAAACTTCACCCTGAACCCCAAGGTTGTTTAAAAGCAGTATGAGTTGAGAACCAGAATGTCTTAGATATAGATGCTCATCCAGCCCCACCATTTCACAGGCAGAAGGTTGAGATCCAGAAAGGGAGGACTTGCCTAGGGTCATACAGCATTGCTTTCCCAATGAGCAGAATAGACAGTAAACAAGGAAGCACAAAGAAGCTTGGCCTTGGAGACCTAGGACCTAACTTGTAGACCTGCTGACCTGTAAAAGAGGGCAGGTGATTTCAGTGATTTGGAAAGTCCTTTCCAATTCTGAAATGTTCTGGGCTCTGTCTGAGTCATGTTTTGGGAGAGGGCAAAATCAATAGATATGGTTTCCCAAGGTAAATTGGTGTCTCTTAGACTTGGGTGTTAAGAAATGCCTAGGACAATGTGCAGTTATGGTACTGCCAAAACAATAAATAGCCATTCAGTGAGTGAGTGAACATTTTCTGAAATAGGAGTCATTCTGGTTCACAGCAACATTCCCTCTGAACTCCCTGGGGGAGGTGGAATGAACAGTGGGATGTTGACAGAGTGGTGCCACTAGGAACATGTTAGGCAGAGGCCCATCTTGGCTGGTGTTGCTTTAAAGGTGGGTAGAAAGGCCCAGGCCAGCACGTAGCCTCAGAGAAGGAGTGGGGGTTAAGACAGTGCCCAGGGGGCCACACCTTCTTGGGCTCAATCCCCAGGAGTCAGTATCAGGCCAGGTCAGGAGCATCCACACCCTCATTGATGAGCTTAAGAAGAGCAAAAAGCTTATGTGCAGAGATGACTCAGGCCCAAAGAAACAAGAAAATCTTGATATAAGGCCAGCAGGGTGCTCCCAGTTCTTTCATGGGCACAGGCAGGCTTCTAAGCACAGTTCGCCAAGTAGAGATGAAGAAAGGGAAGGCTGGGAAGGTAGGGGAGGCACAGTCCTAGGACATGGTCCTGCTCTTTGTCCTCTCGGCCTGTCTGGCACAGCTGGGACAACTCTCCTGCTCATGTAACCTCAGTGTTTTAGTAAAGAACAGATGAGCATTTTCCCTCACCTGGATGGAATGCACAGGAACACGCTCAGGAGCGCAATTATTGAGGACTTAAGGGGTTTGTAAGGAACCATCGCTGTTCAGTAGGCCAGGAGGTCACCATAGCAAGGTCAGCCAAGGTGGTTTGACTTCCATCCTGAGCCCTTGCAAGGCCCTTCCTCCCTTGGAGGCAGAAAGGAGTTATAGAGGTGTGGGTTTCTGTTAAGGAGGTTGGAAGAAAGCATGCTACCCACACCGTCCTGCCCCTGCGCATGCTCATGTTCCCCACTCAGGGCATATCTGGGGCTGATTATGACCAGAACTCAACACAATCCAAGGAACCATCCCAGGCAATTAATTGACTTTGGAAACCAACCCTCGTATAAGGGCAGGGAGCCTGAGTGGGCCAGGAGCAGCTAGCTTCAATGGCTAGGGAGTTTAGGATCTCTAGGCTAGTTACAGATGGACCAGTGTCCCCCTGAGGACATTTGTGGCAGGACCAAGGATGAAGAAGGCTGAGATTTTGGAATCAGACAGGCAAGATTTTGAATCTCAGTTCATCAGCCATGTGACCTTGGGAAAATTTCTTCTCTGGCAAATTTCCTCATTTGTTTAAAAAAAGAGTTTTTACATGGTTGTTGTGAGAACTAGAAGTGTGTGTGTGTGTGTGTGTGTGTGTGTGTGTGTATGTGTGTGTTGCTTGATTGGCACAAGCATTCCATACCTTGTCACCATTATCACTAGTGACCATAACACTCAGATTTTTATCTGAGCAGACTTGGGTTGCTGACATTTTTTATCATGTGAATTTCCTTTGCATGCCTGAGAAGTAAAAAATACTTTTTGTACTCAAAGCTTGGGCACCATATTAAATATACAGCCTCCTCCCCACCCTATATTTGACCACTTTCCTCTAACTCGGGAATATTACTACATGTTTCATTTTGCAATACATCATAAAGTGGCCAACTTGTTGATACAGAGTTCTACATGTTAGGATTTTTGTCCTCCTATCTTTGCATCTCTTAGTCACTCTGTTGGGCCATATGGCTCGATGATAAATCATTTTGTGAACTAGTATAGATTGCCAGTTGAAATAAAACCTATCTAAATTCCTGAGGCATTCATAATCACAGTGCGGAATAATTTAGTCCGTAATTTTGTGGCTACATGGAGAGTTTCTTCTAAGAGTTTTTAAGCCAAAAAATGGCATTGTGGGAAAATTATAATTACAACAAGTAACCATGAAACCATTTTCATTAAAAGTTATTATTTAATTCATTTTAAATGCCAAAACTGTAGACCTTGGTCCACTTACTATTTGAGATCACAAAATCCCAGTTGTGTAAAGAAATGGGGGAAACCTTTAGAGTTGCATATAACATAGTGTTGCCAGAAATTCTGGGTTTGAAAAATAGTGGGTTCCTATAGGAATAAGACCACCTCAGTGAACTCTCCTTTGCATGTTCTGTACCCATAAGAGACCTATAGCTTATATCATGCACCACTCTGTAAAATGTATAAGGCCAACATCAGTGTTCATTGAAGTCTTCCAGCAAATATAATCCTTAATAATCTTAATTACCATACAGAAAATCGGGACCATTTCTTAAATATACCTTGTTAATACATCATCTCAAATGTGCACATACATGATAATTACCAATGGATAATACTGAAACAGTCAGAGGGTGCTAGATACCTCATATTGACTGGTATTGTCTTTCTCTCTCACACACCCCAAAACCGACTGGAGGGAGGATGTTTGTGGTTACTGGATCTCAGAGTACCACTACTCTTCAGAAATTATTCTTTTTGGAAATTTGAGTTTCTGGGTTCTAAGAATCATGGTTTTACCAGTTATGTCACTCCAGGGAAAAGCAGACTAGACTATATGCTCTAAGCAGTGGGTTTGTGAGGAGGGCCTGGTAGGGACAAATGACCTGCTGGGGTCAGAGGCAGCCCGTCATGCCTTTCGTCTCCTCCCTTGTAAAATGGGAGGACTGTTTACGGCCTATTCAGTGACATATCACAGCCCCTTGTTACTGCACACTTTTGTAAACTGTAAAATATACGCTGAAATGAGGGGACTATAACATAGAATGCCTTTTCCCTGGGCCACAGCCCTTGCCCCGCCCCACAAGGACAGAGAGAGAAGAATTAAATAGTTAAGCGAGAGGTTGAATGAGGGGCTCCTGGATCCCTGTGTCCCATCCCAACCAGCCAGGCACCCACTCCAGGCTGCCCTGGGAACTTGCTCTTTTATTAACCTTGAGGCAGGGAGGGAACTTTGTTTAATTCTCTGTGTGGTTCCTGTTCTGAAGTAGAGAAGGAGCAGAGTAGCCAAGAGGATACATTTTCATGGAAAATGTCTCTTGTTTATTTTTTTTCTTTTTATTTTATAAAATGTCTCTGGAAGGAGATAATAAATAAACAGAAACATCGAATACACTCCTTTCTGCAAGTCCGCAGCCAGAGAAAAAAGAAAAAGCACATGACAAATAAAAGGGAATCCCCCCTCCATTTTCTCCTTTTCATTCTATTTTCTGTTAAGAATGGAGGAGGAGAGCTCTGAGCCAGGCCTGCTTTCTGTGCATCACAGGGCAAATTGGGCATCTCTCTTGGAAGTATGATATAAAGCCTATAAATCAAATCATTATGGGTCTCTATAGTCTCTCTCCAGAGACACCCTTCCCACTGTTGGGAGGGGAAGGAGGTCCTCAGGAGCAGGGCAGCCTACCTGAGTTTTAGTCATTTGTAAGGTCTGATGATACCCAACAAGGAGGGGAATCTGTAGATAAAGAAATCTCTCCTCTCTGCCACAGTATAATTTTGTATAAGGGATGAGGGGACCCAAAGCACAGCAGGGAGACTTCCTTGACCTCAGACTCCCAAGTGTCCAGAGACCAGCCTTTCAGAGATTGAGCCCTACGGGCTCTGTCAGCCATTCCTTGTGTGGAAAAAAGTGACACAGCAGCCGAGCATGGTGGCACTCGCCTGTAATCCCAACAAATCAGGAAGCTGAGATAAGAGGATCACAAGTTCAAGCCCAGCCTCAGCAACTTAGCAAGACCCTGTCTCAAAATTAAAAATAACAAGGGCCAGGGATGTGGTTCAGTGGAAAAGTGCCCCTGGGTTCAATCCCCAGTACCAGGAAAAAAAAAAATTTTTTTAAAGTACCACAGCCTCAGCACCAGCCCCTTGCTGATCTACTGATCTGTAAATTCTGTTCATCACTAAAAATGTTATGTGGGGATGTCCCCTTCTTGCTTTTATTAATACTAGACAAGTGAAGAAGAAGAAGAGTTAGAGGAAGAGGAGGAGGACCTGGAGGAAGACAGGAAATCCACAAAAGAAGAAGAGAGTGAACCCCCAAAGTCCCCGGAGCCACCACCAGTCCCTGTCCTGGCTCCCACCGAGGGACCACCCCTGCAGGCCCTTGGCCAGCCCTCCGGCTCCTTCATCTGTGAAATGCCCAACTGTGGGGCTGTAAGTGTCTGTGTTGTCCAGGGATCTGGAACAAGTGAGGGCCATGCAGCTGCCCCTAACTGTAAGAGATGATGCATTTTTGAAAGGCTATACTTTGAGCAATGAAAATTTGGTAGAGGCCACTCCATGTGGCCATAGTTCTCTTATTCATTAAGTCAAGATATTTATGGCATGTATTTTTTGTTAAGCATAATGCTATGGTTAGAGGACATAAAAGAAGTCCCTAACCTGGCTTAATGGCCCATGCCTGTAATCCCAGCAACTAGATAGGCTGAGGCAGAAGGATCACAAGTTTGAGGCCAGCCTCAGCAACTTAGCAAGATCCTGTCTCAAAATAAAAAATAAAAAGGCCTGGGGATGTAGTTCAGTGACAGTGCCTTCTGGGTTCAATCCCAATACCACATACATACACATTCAGTCCTCAGGCTGATTCCGAGCTCTGTAGCAGGGCTAGGGAAGTTGCTCAATGGTAGAGCATTTGCCTAGAATGTTCAAGGTTCTGGGTTTATTTCCCAACACAAAAAAAGAAAGAAAGACACAGAACTAACCAGGTGAAGTGGAGCTCGCCTATAATCCCAGCAGTTCAGGAGCCTGGGGTAGGAAGATCACAAGTTTGAGGCCAGCTCAGCAAGATTCTGTTTCAAAATTTAAAAATGACTGGAGATATATCTCAGTGATAAAGTGCTCCTGGGTTCAATCTTCAGTACTGCAAAAATAAATAAATGAAAAACTTCAAAGCAAGCTGTGGCCTTCAGAAAGCCCACGGTTTCTTAGTGCCTCTGAACCTCCTGGGCTGCATGTCACCCAAGGTCGTGCCCTGTTGGCATGCATTTAAATGAACAAGGGCACCTCCAGACAGAATCAACCTTTTATAAATGCAATTACTTGCCCCACTGCCTGTAGTTTTACCTATCTGGAAGGTTTTGCATCTCATATTCCATAAAATGTTACTAATTCAAATGTCACTAATTTGAAATTTGAGAAGGTTGTTATAAAGATTTAGCTAAAGTTTGTCTTTGTACTCTGTGGGGACAGAAAGATTGACCTAGCAAACTAATCATGCAAACACCTGAAAGGGAGTCTGTGTAACCACCTAGACTCATTCCCTGCACTAAAGGAGGACCTTACAGAAGCTACACCAGACCATCAAAGGCTCCATGCATATTTTAAAGGAAAATTTTAAAGGTTCTTTTGGACTTCAGGTTTCCACCTGCCTCCCCCACTAGTATAAATTGGGGAGCTTTTCCCAAATCAGGTTTCTTAAAGCTGGGCATACCTGGACAGGCAAATTTTAGAGATATTATCCCAAAATGAGGATGCTGTTCCTTTACAGTGACGCCCCTTGTCCTCAAGTTAGTGCTCTTGTCTTATGTTTGTTTAATATAGAGTGTATCAAATGCTGCTTATTGAGTCTGTCACTTAGATGAAAGAAGCAACAGTCTTTAAAATATTCATATCCTAAAGCAGAAATGTATTGATTTACATTTAAGGAAAAAAGTTTTTTAAAAATGTATACATTTTGCATTAGCTGTGAAGAGAATGGAACCTGCCAACTTCTTTCCATCTTGGTTATTTAATGACCCAATCTCTTCACTCTGTCACTGCCATTTTGTATGGAGAGCTTCAGTTCAGGGATGATTAAGATGTGACTTTAAATGACAACATCTCTTGGTGAATTTATTCAGAAATTGGATACTTCCTCAATTCATAGTTAGAGTGTACCGTAAATTTTTTACTGAGCGGGAAGTCATCTTTTACTCTCAGCCCCATCAGAAAAGCTCAGCAAGATAGATATTTTTTAATGACTTATTAAAATCAAAGTGGGGAAAGCATGCTGGTGTTTTTCTTTGCATAACAATAGAGGCTGTAGTTGTCAAATCAGTGATAGATTTTGTTTTTGTCTGTAAGACAATAAACACAGCTTGTGGATGAACACAGAGCAGCCCCTAGAGCTGGGCAGCTTGATGGGCTTCCCAGTTAGTGGTTAACCTTCATAAGCTGGAAGTCCAGGCTCTTGGGATTCAGGGGTATGGATTGCAGTGGTCCTGAACTGAGGACCCAAGAACATTCCATTCCCCCAAGAACATTTGGCCATGTCTGGAGCCATTTTCATCAGGACTATGGAGGTGCTACTGGCACCTGGTGGGTAGAGGCCAGAAGTGCTGCTAAATATCTGGCAGTGCACAGGACAAGTCCCCACAGTGAAGAATCACCCAGCCCCAGGTATCCGTAGTGCTGAGGCTACAACCCCTGCTTTATGGAATCTTGAAAAAGACTTGCAGATTCTTCCCCTTTGTATTATCCTGAATTGAAATGTGGGGGTCTTAAACACTGCTTAAACAATGGGCTTCTGAGATTGGGGTGTGGCTCAGTGGCAAAGCACCAGCACATGAGGTCCTGGGTTCCAGCCCTTGCACTGGTGGTTGGGGGAGGGGGTTAAGCAATGGGCTACTGATTGAGGCTATACATAAGGTACAGAGTGTGCCAGAGCACCTCATCAATGTCCTTCCCACTCTTCCTGGGGGCGCTAGAGCTTCCTGGACAGAGACAGGGCTGAGAAAGTGGGCTGGATTCTGGTCTGCTCCGTTTCAGCCAGAGCATCTCTGCTTTTCACCTGAGTTTGGGGTAAGACCTAATTCTTTAATAAAAAAGGAAGGAATTGGCTTTTAGCCAAAAAAAAAAAAAAAAGTTTGAAAGCTGGTCCAACCCCCTCATTTTACATATGGGGGAAAAAAAATGAGATGTCCCAAAGGGAAATGGCCTCAGAGCCACCTGTGAGTTAAGACAAGCTGGATGTAGACCCCTAGTTTCCTGAATTTGAGATGGTGCCTTTGTCCTTTACACATGTGCCACGTTGCCTCTTAGATTATGACAGTGATGGGGTGTGGGTTGGCACAGCATTTGCGGTTGTGGTATTTGAGCTTGGCTTTCTGTGGCATAAGCCCAGAGTTTGCTTAGATAAAACGCTTGTGCCTGTCATTAGACACTGTTTCATGTATCACTGTTTTACCAATGAGTAACTAATAACCCTAATTTCCTTTTCAGGACTGTAGATGTCATGTCACTCCCTTTCTTCCCCAGGTGTTCAGCTCCCGACAGGCACTGAATGGCCATGCGCGCATCCATGGTGGCACCAACCAGGTGACCAAGACTCGAGGTGCTGTCCCCTCTGGGAAGCAGAAGCCTGGCGGCACCCAGAGTGGGTATTGCTCTGTGAAGAGTTCACCTTCTCACAGCACCACCAGTGGCGAGACAGACCCCACTACCATCTTCCCCTGCAAGGAGTGTGGCAAGTAGGTGCACTTGAACCAAGGTCTGAACCACAGTGGATGATGGCTCTGTAGGGGCCAGGCCAACACAGTCTGAGGTTTCATCAGCTAGAGGAAGAACCTAGAGTCTCAACTCACCTTCATGCCATCTTTAGAATCTGTAAGGTGAACTGTCTCTCTGACTCAGAAAATGGCCATTCTGGTGTCCTAGAAGGACAAACATCTTCAGAGAGCAAACCTCTAGTGACAAACTTCATTTCTTTGCAGAAAAGTGTGGAATGCCAATTTCCACTTTCTCCGTGCATACCCAAACTGTATTCACTAATGTCACTTATCTTTGCATCCCCGCTAAGTTTTTTGAGAATGGCTCCAGAACAGCTAATCAGGAGCTCTCTATAGCAGAGGTGGGCAAAACATCACATGCCTTCCACCACCGCTCGCTCCTGTTCCCAGGGCAGACATCACTAATCAAGCACCACACTCACAGCTATCACATTAAGACAGAGCCTCAGATTCTTTTGATGATCATGCTTCAAGTTTATACAACCAGTTGATTAGAGTTGATACATGGATAAAACCTATTTGTTATCCCTGCCCTCTTAGGGATAGTTTATAACAACTAAAGGGGAAACTTGACAGTAGGTAGTAATAAAAACAGCTTTTACTGAGTACTTACTTCATGTACATGAACTCAGTTTTCACACAGAAACTTCATATGATGCATTCGCTATCTTTATCCTTGTTTTACAAATAAGGATTTAAAATTAGGTAAAATGCCTTGCCTCAGGCCACACTGCCAGTGAAGAACAGAACCAAGATTTGAACCCAGCCAGTCTATAGGCACAGCCTGAGTTCTTGCAGTTACTCTTTCCTTTTGGTTTGCTTTGTGTGCTTACCTTAGGAAGAAAATATCATTGATGGTAAGGTGCATAGTTCTCTCATGGAATTCTAGGAGAGTTCCAGTTTCCTTCCCAGTGAGTGACTTGAGGGCATTTCATGGTCATGCCGATCTTTCAGGAGCCTCACTGAGTTTCTCTTCCCATAACCTCCAATGCCTCAAACACAAGAAATGTCACCTAGAGAGACACCAATCAGGATGAGGCTGAAATTGCCAAGAAAGCATCTCTAGTTACATAAGTAAAGCCAGTTGGAGACCTCTCCCTCCACATCCTCACAGAATGTATCCAGCAGCATTATAGTAGCTGCCATCAGTCAGTCCTCGTTATTTGCCTGGCACTATTTTAAAGAATTTTTGCATGTATTGACTCATTTACTCTTTAGAATACCTTACGAGGCAGGTGTTCTTAGTCACTCTTAGTAAGCTGAAACTAAGGCACGGAAAGTTTAGGCCACATTGGGGTACAAAGCACGCTGTCTGGGCCAGCCTTGTGTGCTTAGCCTCTAGGCCAAGCTGCCTCTGTGTAAACCTAATTCGGTTCTGGGGCACCCACTACAGGGCACTGGACCCACATCTCCCTTACCCCTTGTGGAGCCAGGGATGGGAGAGGAGGATTTAGGTGTTGGTCTCCCCCTCTGTGCTTTCAAAGCATGGAAATGATGTCATCTTTTCCCCCCAACCCCCAACACACACACATTGAGGGAGCTACAGATTGAATGAGTCCACAGACTGATCATCATGCTTATTTGCTTGGAAGAAGGTTACACCACTTACACCACCCCAAGCTCAGTTCTCTCCCACTTGTCTAAGAGTAGAAGTGTGGGGACAGTGGAGTCTTGCCATCCCCTCTGAGAGAAAGCCCATACCTTCCACTTATTCCGTTCAAACAGGTTATAACTTCTTATTCCACCAGGTGGAGACAAAGGACACTTTAACAAAAATTCATACAGATTGATCATACCTAGTCTGAAACTCTGAAATCCAAAATCGTTAAAAATTATTGTATAAAAATACCATCCGGCCATGTGCGTAAGGTATATATGAAACAAATGAATTTTGTGTTTAGACTTGGGTTCCATTCCCAAGATATCTCTTATGTATATACAAATATTTAATATATATATCTCAAAAATCTGAAACAATTCTGGGCCCAAGTCTTTTGATAAGAGATATTCAACCTGTATTTCATGCTTTATGACTGTCTTTCAGTGGCATGATTAAAACATTCCTCATTTTTATGTTGCTTGGGTTCTTTTTCTACCAAAAGTCCAGTTAAAATTTATGGAAAATAGAACTACTTTTTGTGGTTTTTCCATCCTGGGAATGATATTAAGTAAATGTTCACAGATGCCTCCATTAGTTCCTGGAATTATGTTTATTACATTAAACAATTTTCATTATGTCTAAATGGAATTCATCAACCCTGTTTAACTTAGGCTTTAGAAATCAGGCTTTTGGGTTTGTTGTTTGTTTGTTTATCCTTCATGAACTTGGAAGTAAATAATAATAATAATAGAGTACTTATGTACCCTATTCATAAACATAGTCTCCCTTCTGGGCAAACTTTTTTCTGGAAAATGTTCCAGATAGTAAATACATTAGGCCTTACAGACCATTCTGTCTGTGCATCAGCTACTCAGCCCTGCCCTGGTAGCACAAAAGCAGCCAGAAACAGAACAAAAAAATCCACATGGCTGCATTGTGTTAAAAGTTTATTTATTAAAAAAATAGGCTAGATTTGTTCTGCTGACCATAGTTTGCAGGCCTCTGGTTAAGAATAACCCCCCAAATATGATGGCTATCCTTTTATCCTAGGACTTCTCAACCTTAGCACTCTTGACATCTGCATATGGTAATTACTTGCTGGGGAACAGGCTTCTTCTGCATCCCTGGCCTCTGTCCGCTTAATGTCAGAAGAACTCTTCCCCCAACCAAAAATGTCTCCAGACATTGCCCAGTGTTGCCTGGGAGGGCATAATCACCCCCACTTTTAATCTTAGTAGAAAATTATATATGATGGCCAATAAGAAGGGGTTTTCAATGAAAAGACGTGTCGATACAGCTCAGAAGTCAAACATCAAGAAGACAGAAGTGAGACCACTGAAATTGACCATACAGGGTTCCCTGTGACCTTGAGAAGGACAGTCAGGTTGAAGTGGAGAAAACAAGAGGTTGATTGGAGAGGGCAGAGGAGAGAAAGGGGGATGCACCAAGTATGTGCAGAAAGATCCTTCCACTACCCTAACCAGAAGAACGGGGACAGAGGCCAGGGCAGATGTTGGGTTGTTTATGATGGGGACTCTCAGAGCTCGAGAGTATGATCTGGGGATTCTCTGTTGGAGAGGGCATGGTTAGTGATGTGGAGGCAAGGAGGCTGAAGGAGGAGAAAGAGCACTGTTCCAGACCCCAGAAGGACCCAAAGTCCTTCTCAAAGGCTTCGGGCATTGTCCTGGGAAGGAGCCTAATCATGCCATCAGTGTGCTCCTGTTCCCATTCCTCTTCCTCTAATGCTTGGAGAGGAGGAAAAGGAGGTAATAGGCCACAGCAAGAGAATGTCCTAGAACTCTGTCAAAGCCACCCCAAGCCAGATGTCCAACCTGCACCCCCATTCCCCATAGGAAACTGGGATCTCCAGGAACTCGGATCTCTTGTAAATTTTACATGCTGCTTTTTCTTCATTTTTAGAGTCTTCTTCAAGATCAAAAGCCGAAATGCACACATGAAAACTCACAGGCAACAGGAGGAGCAGCAGAGGCAAAAGGCTCAGAAGGCAGCTTTCGCAGCAGAAATGGCAGCCACAATCGAGAGGACTACGGGGTCGGTGGGGACGCCAGGGCTCCTGCCTCTGGACCAGCTGGGTCTGATCAAGCCCATCAAGGATGCAGATACCCTCGATGACGACGTGGTCCAGCAGCTGGGAGGCGTCATGGAAGAGGCTGAGGTCGTGGACACCGATCTTCTCTTAGATGACCAAGATTCAGTTTTGCTTCAGGGTGACGCGGAACTCTAAAGCCCTGTTTGTTGCTTAGAGACAGTGAGAACCCACTGCCTCAGTCTTTATTAATCAGGAAACCTGGACTGCCCGCTTGTTTTGTAACCCTTTTAAACTACCTGTTTAAAAAGTGGTCGTTTTATTCAGGTTTAGAAAAAAAAAATCCAGTTTCTTTTCCTTTTTTTTTTTTTTTAATTGTTGGGGGGGTTGGGGGAATAAATAATTGGCACAACTATCTTTAAGAGGTGTTTCATCTGGGCTACATCCTCACAAGATCATTCCCAGCAGGGAATGGACTTGGCATCCTGTTCCGTTGCTTTCAGATGTCAACCATCCTGGTTGCCTTCTATCCCAAAGCTTGCCATGCGTGTGCGTGTGCGTGTATGTGTGTGCGTGTGTGTGTGAAGCAGGCTGAGCTCTTCATGCTGGGGCCTTGGGCCATTTTTTCCCACCAAGAGTTATTTTTCTGTTCAGATCTGTCAGGAATTGTTCTTTTTCCTCCACCAAAAAAATAGATCAGAAGAACCTATTCTTTTTGCAATGCTGTTCACGGTTAGTGGAGTTCTGAAATTACTTTGTGCCACTTGAAAGATCGATGAAAACAATACTCACTGGGAATTTGCTGTAATTCGTGTCTGCTGGACTGAAGTTTCCCTAGATACCAGCTAAGAGAGGGTTTTCTAACAGGTCATGATTTCAAATAGGAAGGAAGTAGCTTGGAAGGCCAACAAAAATAGTTTCAGATACACTTTTGCTTCAATGTTTGCATTCAAACAATGAATGTATTCATTACAAGTCACTTACCAAAGCACTTCGAGACTTCACAAAGCTGCATGACTTTGCTCTGCCTCCTCCTGCCCCTGTCAGCAGGGTTGCTGTTTGTACTTGAAGGCAATAAACTTTGTAATCCTTCAAAAATGTCAACATCCGGGCTATTGAACTGAGTCAGACTGACCCATCCCACTATTAGCGCAAAAGTCAGACCGGGACTTAGCCCTGGCAAGGAGGGGATCTGCTCCTCTTGGCCCCTTTTCAGTGTTAATGCCACATGACCTCTGGAGCAGGTGTTCTCAGGCCTCTCCCCTCCCTCGGTAGCTACCCAGCTCCACAGAAAGGTGGCTGTCACTCTGGGCCACTTTGCTGGCTCAGTAATAGCTGGACATCAGACAGAAAATCAGCAGAGGCATGAGGACAGGACCTGAGCATCCTTTAAATTTGACTTTGCAAAAACATTTAGCACACACTCACGGGGGCCCACTGTGACCTGTCGTAGCCCCACACAGGCAGTGGTTTCTGAATCTCAGGAAAGCCACAGACAGAAGAAAAATACAAAGATTTTCTCATTTCCAGCATTCTGTTTTCAGAGAAGATGTCTTGGAGATTTCCTTCCTCTTTAAGGAAAAAAAAAAAAAACTGCTTTGTTTGCTGCCATTTCAACAGGTTAATCTATCCTGTTGTTTTATCTAAGCAGTTCTGAGTTAAGAACTGCCTGGGCATCAGGCACCAGCTTGGTGGCAGAGTTATTACAGAACCATTGCAACTGTCATGTCATCAGCAGATCTTGAAGTGACCTCCTTCTGGTCTGAGGGTGAGCCTGGAATGGTTTCTGCCATTGGGTCTGTAGAAGCTTATCAAAAGACCAAATGCCCAGAAAAATGTTTATAAAGCAAATGTATCCCTTCTATTTGGAGACTTGCTCGGCTGTTCCAGTTTTAAACATTAAAAATAAACTGAGTTGTCACAGCAAAAAATATAATGCACAATTTAATTTTAATTTTCCATGCAGTATAGGGTAAGGATCTTGGACTTGAAATAACCAAAGAACTCCTCCTTAATGAGACAGTTCAAATACCTGAATTAGTATTTCTTGACTATCAAAGAATCGACTTCCTAGTATAATATATTGCACTTACTTTTTTTTTTTCTGGAATGATCTGCCTGCATGGATGTATTGTGTTTTTGCGTCCCCCACCCACCCACCCCAAAGAACTTTTCTTCCTAATGGTTAATGTCTTCAACACGGTTACTGTTTACTATCAGATGGTTTTTCATTAGTGAATTTAGACCTCTTTGAGAAAGCTTGTATATAAAAAGTTAACAGATATATTTTATGGAAAAACCCATCTTATTTTCAAATATATTTAACTGCTGTTATATTTTATTAGAGGAAGGTTGTAAATATTTTCTAGGAGTTCTATTGTAAAGAAAAGTATTTTTGAAAAAAATTAATGTAATAAAAATGAAAACATTTTTAAATAGCGGCTGTGATTGCTTCCTGTTCTGGCTTCTTTATGTTCTGTTCTCAACAGATGACTTGCATGCCTTCCATATCGGGATGTAACTTATTCAGGTTTGCACTATTATCAGTTGACATCTTAATATTCAGTGTGCTTAACTGTATTTTCCCAGAATGCAGGTCCCTTGGTCCATATCAAAGCACTATGTATAGCATATTCATAATTTTTCTTTTGTAATGTGTGTATTTTTAATAAGGATTTTATGTAACATTTTGGCAAAAAGAGGACAGTATTTTCTAGTGAATTTTATAATAACATTTTGCTAAAAATGTTTCTTCCTAGGTCAGTTTTTGTTAAGGTGAACCAAAAGTCTTATTTTACCAGGGGTTTAAAAAAGTTTGAAGCTTGAAAGCAAAGTTATATTTAAACATCATATGTAACAAATAAATAAAGATGTTTTATAGACTTGTCCTAAAAAGGTGCATTCCTTAATAATAATAATAACTGGGGCATTGTAGGTTGTTTCCCCACCTGAGTGTTAAGCATTTTTTAAAATTATCACAATACTTTTTCAGGAAGAGAACCAGGAGAATTTTACTTCAGTTTCAGTCATTTACCTTAGAGATTTATTACAGTTCCTAGAGACGGGCATTCATCAAAATAGAAATGTAACCAAATACATGCTGTCCTATTTATTTGTGAAAACCTGATTCAATATTGCATCAGCTGCTCTGAAAATAAAATATTATCTTTCTGAGTTTCATTTGGCTTAAATATTTCTTTTTTCTAGCCACTGGAATGACTTTTCAATGCCGAATAAGCGCTAGTTGGTTTATGTTGACACAGATTTGAGAGGCCGGCTGGTCAACATTTCATTCTCATTGAAGTACCCCCCTCCAGCCCTACTCCAGAAACCAGGATGCACATTTCTGCTCCTCAAGCAGTGGATGGGCCACTTGAAGATGTGACATACTCTAACTAGTATTGTTCAAGCTCAGTATTACCTATAGGAGTCTACAATAAGCCACAGCATTCATGTCTGCCCTGATTTATTTCCATTTTATATGTGGATTTGCAAATCAATGTGTGTTTGCTTTTTTTTGGTGGAGGGGGCGGGTACCTGAGATTGAACTCAGGGGCACCTGGCTGCTGAGCCACATCCCCATCCCTATTTTTTATTTTATTTAGAGACAGGGTCCCTCTGAGTTGCCTAGTGCCTCACTTTTGCTGAGGCTGGCTTTGAACTAGCTATCCTCTTGCCTCTCAGCCTCTGGGATTACAGGCGTGTGCTACCTCACCCGGCCACTGCAAAAAAAATTAATATCCAGAAAGAACAAACAGGTACCTGGGAACTGATCCAGGTTCACTGTTGGGAAGAGCAAAAGTTCAAGCTTTCTTAATATTCTGAACTTCCTCACCTTCACCCACACATTTGCAGCAATTTACAGCAGATGCCCAATAACTATTGGTTAACTACCTTTCTAGTCTTCCAGGTATGCTGGGGGGCAGGGGGGACAACCTCAAATCAATTCGGTGTTCCGTGATTTCCCAGTCTGCCTTCCTCAGCGACAGCCAGTCCGCTGAGTTGTATGTGTTCTAGAAATGTGGATGAATTTTAATGTTGACAAAAACTAACCCTAATTAGACATTTTAAGAAATTGAATAACACATTCCTAAATGAGTGGTTAAGTGATCTTTGTCTTATTTTTGCAGTGCTAGGGATTGAACCCTGGGCTTTGCAAATGCCCGGCAAGTAGTACCCTTGTGCTACACCCCGAGTCCTGTATGGGATCTCTGATCACAGATATCCCTACATAAAACAGCCATAAAAGGGCCCGACTGTTTCTTTTATGTAAGAGATAATCTTTTGAAATGGCTCCTTTTAAGAACAGAACTGGTGCAATCAAAATACAATTTTGTTGTGTGTGCTCTTTGTCTTCGTGCAGATACAGCAAAATGCACCTGCTCAACCATCTGGAGCCTGCTCTTCTCCATTAGGTCAGATGTTTGAAAGTCTAGGCTGTAGGAAAGAGATCCACAACGGATAGGCCAAGCTTCAGAACGCTGTCTATCCCCACACTGTCAAAGAGCCCTGTCCACAGCCCTACTGTTGGCAAAACCTGGCCCCCTTGTGTGGTGTGAGGGTCAAACCCAGGGCCTTGCCCTTGCTAGGCAAGTGCTCTACCACTGAACTACATCCCCAGGCCTCTTTTCCCTTTACAATGACTGTCCCCTTGCTCCCAGCTAACTGGACCAGGTTGACATGGGACCCAAAGTCATTAGGCCAATAGGCCAGTCAGTCACATATGATATGGCTTAGCCAAGAAAGATGAGGAGACTGAATCAAATTCCCACATCTGAGACAGAACAAATGAAGAAACTTGATGAGCTAGAGGCAGCAAGCCATGGCAACAAGCAGGGCAGAGCCCTGGGGGAGCAGGAACAAATCAATCCACAGGAAGGTCATCAGAGGACTAGCAAGGACATCAGTCCCAGACTGACTGTAGCACAGTCTCTGGGGCCCAGAAGAGTTTGGGCCACCATGTCTTTAAAAGTAAACTCGTTTTCTTTTGTAGTAGGGTGTGGTGGAGGATGGGTGTTTGATTCCTTTAATCCAAAGGAGACTCAAATAGAACTGGGCCTCATCAGAGAATCAGAACAAGCTCTCTGCTGGGGCAGGAAAGGAAGGCATTGAACTAGGATTTCAAAGATGGTTCTTGGTTCAGTTGAAACCAAGCTTGAGTGAGTTATTTCCTCTCTGAACCTGTTTCTTCACCTATAAAATTAGGAAAAAATTCATGTCTGAGATTAAGTTAACAAATTTTTTTTTTTTGTGTGTGTGTGTGTGTGTGTCTGTAAAATCTGGAGAGAGAATCGTAATATTACCATCATTGTGGCTACAGAACACTTTCCAAACTCAGGCTACTCAAAGGAGCAGAGGCCAGTTGAGGAGTCATTGAGAGACTGATGCAAACTTCAGAAGCAGCGAAACAGATGGGGGTTGGGATGGCGGTGGGGGCAGGAGTGCTGCTTTCAGGAAAACCCATTGGCTGAGATAGACCACTTCCAACCTCACAATTAAGACAGCCTAATGTTGAGGAGGACCCTGGGTGGTCAGCCATGATGGGGCACAGCTGAGCCAAGCGAAGTGCACATGGGTGAAATGTGTGCTGTTTCCATACCATGCAGTAGGACCACTCTGCCACCCTCACATGGACTACATTCTACTGAGCAGAGCCCAGTTGGAGGGGCAGAAAAACTGGTTTCTGCTCCTAAATCTCTCATCCATGTATGGAATGTTGCACAAATTATTCTACCCTTTACTTTGTTCTCTTGCCTGCAAAATAGAGTAAATAAGGAGAAATAACAACTTGTGAGGTGAAACAACAACTACATTTGTATAATGCTTTATTTAGATGCTTTGAGTGTTCTCATAACCTTGATCCTCTTAATCTTCTCCACGACCTTGTGAAGCAAAAGATACAAGAAACTTTAAGTTGCAAATGGTAGATGAAATTGATTGTATATTATGTAGCAGACAATGTACTAACTATCATACATCAGTATCTCATTTAATCATAGACACTATTTGAAGTGAAATCTATTATCATCTCTATTGGACGTATGAGAAAATAAGCTCAAAGTGGGAAAGAAACTTGCCCAGAGTCACTCAGCTAAGTGGTAAACCAGAGATTACAATCCAAATTTCCTAATTATAAATCTCGAGTTTTCCATTAAATTGCCTATGTGAAAGCACTTTGGAAAACAATAAAGCTTAGAAATTTGCACAAATGAAAGAAAATTTTATTACAGCAAATCTGATTCACCAAATTAAACTACTGTGGACATTAAGTACTAGGCACTATTTGGGCTCGTTTTAGTAGGTGAAGGCATTCATTGTAGTCTCAAATACTAGAGTAACATAAGAAAATGAATGATTTAGGAAGATTAGTAAGATGGAGCTATATAAGATACCTGGGGCACAAGAATTTCAGTTGGTGTAGGGAAGGAAAGTAACTTTAAGGAACAAAACTACAAGTCTGTTGCAATAAGATAAATGGTTAGGATTTGGGCTCAGTAGTTGGTAGTTGTTTTTTTTTTCCAAGCTTTTGCTGTGTTGGCCTCCAGCCTCATGGAACCCCATAGAACAAGCATGGTTTGACGGTAAAAATACTGATGAAACTTGATTACTAGGTAGATGTGGGCTCAAGCAATTCTACTCAGACGCGATTGCAATCAGGAAGCCGATCCAACCCTCAAAAGCAAGGAATCACGTCTCTATGGTTGTTCCTGTGGCGGAACACGAGGACGTACGCTCTCCTTTCATCGAACTCTATGGTCTTAGGACGCACCTGTGACCCCGGAAGCTCTTCTGGAAGTTCGGAGCAGCAAGATGGCGGCGCGGACAGCGCTTGGCGCTCTGTGCCGGCACCTCTGGCAGGTAAGGAGAGATTTGGGGAGACTGGGCGGGCCAACGGGGACAGTGGTTAATTCCCGCTGCCACCCGCTGTTCAGCCCATCAGGAGTCTTCCCCGATATCTGTTACTCGTCCCGGGCAGCTGTTTGCAGAAAGGTGATGAGAAAAGCCTTGGTTTTATTTCTAATTGTCGCGCAAAGATAGGAACAAGAACGTTAGGGCTGGAAAAAATAGTGAACGTCTTATGTTCCACAGGCTCCGAGAAGACCGGAAACCTGCCTCGCGAAAGTCTGCCGCTGAGCCGGCTCTAGATTTCAGTCCCCAACTAAAATGGGACATCTTCCTGACACCCGGGGATTGGGAGATTTAGGGGATGGTCTCTGAAGTTGGCAAAGTGGTTTAGATATCCTCCACACATTTCTTTGGAAGAGAAACAAAAACTTAAGCAGCGGTTCTCAGGCTTTTTAACCAGAGGACCCCGTCCCACTTTTGGAGATAAGGACTCCAAAGAGATTTTCAGTTTTGTGAATCTTAACTACCTATGTTTTGGTTTGCAAAAATAAAACTGAGAATCTTAAAAATACCCGTTTAAAAAGTAACCCTAATAAGCCGGGCGCGGTGGTGCACGCCTGTAATTCCAGCTATTCAGGAGGCTGAGGCAGGAGGATCACAAGTTTGAGGCCATCCTAGGCAGTTGAGCGAGACCCTGTTTCAAAATAAAATATAAGAAGGTCTGCGGATGTAGTTTAGAGTTAGAGCGCCCCTGAGTTCAATCCCCAGTAGGGGGAGGGAGGAGTAACACTAAAAATTCTTTACATGTTAACATAGTTAACATTTTTTGGGAAGTGTGTTCTCCAAAACAAAAGCAGATTACCTGAGGAGTGGCAATGTTTTTCACTTTTACAGAGATCTCTAATATTTGGCTTAATAGAAGACTGCTGGATTTTCATATTTGTTTTTTGCATTTTGTTTTATCACACATTACTCATCCTTGAGAAAATGCCACTGTACACTATGAGAGAATGAGACAAGTTTTAAATAACATTTTAGTGTTATTATGAAAATAGTTTTGATTTCCCAAATCTGGAAGTGTCACAGAGACATCCCCCTACGCCGGTCTTCAGACCACACTTTGAGGACCACTGTTTTTTAGATGGTGTTAGAAGTTGAGATTTTTGAAGTGCTAAAATGAACTTATCCAGACAAAGTTCCCCAATCACACGCCCTTAAAAGAAAAAAAAAAATTTTTTTTTTTTTGTACTAGAGTTTAAACCCTGGGACACTTTACCACTGAGCTACATCCCAGCCCTATGTATATATTTATCTATTTAGACAGGGGTTTGGTAAATTCCCCAGACTGGCTTTGAATTTGGATCCTCCTATCTCAGCCTCCTGAGTAGCTTGGGTTACAGGTGCATGCCACCACATTGTGCCCTCTCAAATTTTTTAAAAACAGAGCAAAAAGAAAATTTAAGAACTTAAGTTGATTGGTGGATATAACAACACTTTAGGCAGCTGTTAAAAGCTGAGATTTATAGAGGAAGAGTATTACTAAGAAGTGTCATATTCCTTAGATTTCTCCTTTTTTGCACAACTGGATTGTGTGGTCACTGGCATAGATGCAAGAAGGAAGTTTTCTTTGGGATTGTGTGTGAAGAATGACACATACTTCTTGCTACCTTGTATTTGCCTAATTTCCTTTTTGTTTTCTTTTTTCTCATGAGCCAAGGGAGAATATGAAAAGTTTTGAATTGTCTCCAACTTGAGTAAAGAGAAGAAAAACAATAAAAATAGGCTTTTAAAACATTTAAGTCAGGGCTGGAGTTGTGGCATGTGTGAGACCCTGTGTCCGATCCTTAGCATATAAATAAGTAAATTAAATAAAAGATCCATTGACAACTAAAATACATTTTTTAAAAAAACCACTTAAATGACAATCGGTTATTTTAATTAAGCTTTGCTTGTGCCAACTTGTTATTTTCATCTTCATTGTATTTTGAGGATTCTGTGCTCCTACTTTCTCAAGGTACACTTTTAAATATCAGGAAAGCTTAAAGGAAAAACAGGTAGTATAGAGTAGCATTTAAGTTTCCTAGAACAAAAAAGTTTTGTTCCACTAGGGGGTGCTCACAAGAAAGGATTTGGCATTGCTGAATTGTTGCCTTGTGTGGCATAGCAGTTAGTAATGGGTGCAAGTTCCAGTGTGTACTGTATTTCAGTTACTTTATAAGCTAGTTATCCTAGCCAAGCCAAGAAATGCATATGCTTGAAAAGATGCATGAGGCTTCAAAAGAAGGGTACTTATTCCAACTCTTAATAAATTAAATAGACAATAATAAATTAAATTATATATTCAATTATTTTACTGCATAAAAATATTTGTTCCACCAGGGGGATTGTGTTCACTGGCACAGATGTACAGTTAATCTGTAAAAAAAATAGTGGGAAAATAAAGTCACGTTTGATGCTTTTTTTTTTTTAATGTCCACATGTTTAATTCATAGATTTTTTTTTTCCTTGTGGGAGTTGAGATTCTAGTGTTTTGAGAGTGCTTTTTAATTTTCAACCATTGTCCTCTTATTTATTCTGAAATTAATCTGTCCCTTTTAGGTATCCAAACTTCTTCATTTGAAATAATCAGATATCCCTTTATTTGAAGCATCATGTATCTTTTAATTTTTAGTGGAAACTGAGTGGTTTGGAAATTGACTTTAATTCTAATATATGCCCCCCCTCCCACTTTTTTTTTTTTTTTTAAGGGCTTGGGGAATTTGTCTGTAAACAGTTCTAAGAGCAATACAGCAAAGAATGGTGCCTTTCTTCTGTAAGTATACATTGGACAAGCCTAATTGAATTAAAAAATGGGCCTGTGTGCTTTTTAACTTGGTTTTCTCTTTTTTTTTTCCCCACTCATAGCAGTACCAGCATGAAGTGGGTACAGTTCTCAAACCTTCACATTGATGTTCCAAAGGATTTGACCAAACCTACTGTATGTATAAGAAGATACATACATTAGCATAAGAAGATACATCATCAATAACTTTTCCTAATGATTTCATTTGGGTTTGTTTTCCAAACACATTATGAATAAAAACAGATTATTCTGGAATACTAGCAAATGTACAGTATGCATATTCTTGCATATTCTCCAGTGTCCCTGGGTGTTCATGTGTTATCTTTCAGAGTATCAAAATAAGTTCTAAAAGAACACATTATTTAACCCAAATAACTGTGGTAAAGAATAGTTTTACTCTTAGCTCAGCATAATTGAGGAGTTGTAATACTTGATGTTATATTGTGGAAAAGTACTTTTCTTATAAATTTCACATCTTTGTTTTCATTTTAAGTTACTGAGTCTAGGCCTGGACAGTGCTTTATTTTTCAGAGTGAAAAAGAACACAAATTATGGAAATCCAGAAGGAGCTATGTAACCTTGTAGAAGCACTGATTCCATCAGCCCAATTTTTGTGTTATTTGTAATTTTAAAAAATCCTTTCAAGGGGCTGGGGATGTGGCTCAAGCGGTAGCGCGCTCGCCTGGCGTGCCTGCGGCCTGAGTTCAATCCTCAGCACCACATACAAACAAAGATGTTGTGTCCGCTGAAAACTAAAAATAAATATTAAAAAATTCTCTCTCTCAAAAAAAAATCCTTTCAAATTCTAAGTCCTTTCATTTCCACCTATTAAAAATACAGTTTTGTATGAATCCTTTTAGACATTTGTCCATGCACATTTTATTCATGCAGGTACACACCAAAATAAAATTGTGTTATACTAAATTTACTTAGTAGATACTGGCTATATCTCTGTGGCAGTACATTTATTTATTTATTTATTTATTTATTTATATTTTTAAGATTTTTTTTAGGTGTAGATGGACACAACACAATGCCTTTATTTTTATTTTTTTTTATGTGGTACTAAGGATCGAACCCAGGTCCCGCCCGTGCTAGGCGAGCCCTCTACCGCTAAGCCACAATCCCAGCCCCATGTGATAGTACATTTAAACAGTGGTCTCCAACTCGGATGACTGCAGGGGCCAGGCTTGGAAGAAGAGGTGGCAATGTGGGCACAGTGGCATACTGTCCTTGTACTTCTTACTCTAGCCACAGTGACCATATCAGAAATCAGACTTACTGATGCCTAATCACCAAATCTCCCAACCTAAACTAATATCCAGATTTTAATAAGAAATCTCCTGATTTTTAACATTCATAACAAATTAAAACCCTACAAGGGCTTTAATTTAGTGGTAGAACTCTTGCCTAGTGTGTATAAGGCCCTGTGTTTTATCCTCAGTACTGCAAAAACTAATATTTAAATATAAAACCCTACAAGAATCAATCAGAACACATCTTTGGACTATATTTGCACTTCCACATTGTCCTCCAGCTTTAGGATATCAGTATATCCTGTTTTTTTCAACAACTCCATTTGGAGTAATTGAGAGTAAATGTCTAGCTTCCTGGTTAGTAAGTCGATCTTTTTAGAGATGAAGTAATTTAACCCTGAATCATAGGATTAGTAATATAATTTACTGGTTTAACAGGTGAATGAAATACAGATAATTCACCTTTTGGAAGACAGACAGAAATGTCAAACCCATTATTTCTAAGGTCTTTGGGTATTAGAGTGGAAGAGAGAGAAGTTATAGGTACAGTCAGTGTCATAACATTTTAATTAGACATGAGTAATATATATATTAAAGCAGGCAAAGCATACATGAAAAAAAAACCTAATTAAAAAAGTGAATAGAAATAGCTTCAGTTCGTATAACAATGTTTAACAATTTATAAGCACTTTAATTTGTGTTTTCTTAGTTTTTCCTTCCTATGAGCTATAGCAAGGTCTCTTATTACTGTGTTTTATATATGAGAAAACTAAGGGGCAGTGAAATAAGGTTTGCCCATGGTCCTTCAACTATAAATAGAGTGTAATTCTCAATCCAGATCTTTTGATAAGGTTATTTTTGTTAACAGACCCTGAGATTATTTCTTATTGTATATAACACAGTTCCATTTTGGTGTCCATGTACATGATTAAAATGACTACATATGGGACAAATGTCTAGAAAGATCATAACAAATTGTTAATGTGAATATTGGGCTCAGTAATTATTAAGTTGGCAGGGCCTGCTAATGATTTTGTAGGTTGCCTTGAAAGTTCTTTTGATTCAAACTGTGTTTTAGCAACTTCCGAGGGTCATTGTGCAAATCTAAATGTGCTAGCATGTAGGTAGTTAAATAACAGTGTTAAGATGTTCCTCAGCATTTTTCTTCCCATTTATTAGTAAACTAAAGTTTTTTTGTCAAGGATAAAATGTTAAGTTTTCTAGTTGTAAATATGAGAGGAAACACAATTGAATTTTTTTTTTTTTTTTACAATGCTGGGGGTTGAACCCAGTGCCTTGTGCGTGCAAGGCAAACACTCTACCAACTAAGCTATATTCCCAGCCCTTGAAACTTTTCTTTTTCATTTTAGATAACCATTTCTGATGAACCAGACACATTATATAAACGTCTGTCGATTTTAGTAAAAGGCCACGATAAGGCCGTATTGGACAGTTATGAATATTTTGCGGTGCTTGCTGCTAAAGAACTTGGTATCTCTATTAAAGTGTAAGTAAAACTTTTCCTAATCTGATCTGGTAGCTGCTGTAGTATAATAACGAGGAAACTGGTGCTGATCCCAAATCGGTCTGAGCTCATAAAGTGGGGTACAAGTCATGATGGGTTGTTTAGGTTTGTCATGTTATCCAAAACAGGATCATCCCTTTCTGTCTACTGGAACTTTTAAATACTGGAATTAGTAAACAGGATAATGAAAGAAATCTCACTGACATTAAGAGACCCAAGAAGCCTATGAATCTCCATGAAACAGGGAGGTAAATTAGGTGAACAAACAAGCCTTTCAGACCCTTTGGATGTGATGATCTTTTTGTCTGCTGCATCCATTGTTTCCACTCTGCCCTAAGGAACACCACTCACCCAGGAGTACATGCATGTGTAAGGAGCTTCATATGGCTTTGGAGTCACTCCAGGGTAAAGAAGAACTGCCTCCTTTGTCTTGTCCCCTGCTCCTTCTTTGTTGAACAGGACTTACTTGGGGCTATCCCAGTCTGACAAACAGAAACAGAAGGCCAGACTTTTTCCCAAAACAAAATACAATTTTGTGGTTATCAACATAATCTGTTTTCCTCAAACAACACACAGCAGGCATGACCACTGTATTCACCACACTGTTGTGCTCTTCACAGGTCATGCATTTGGTCAATAAGGGACTCAATAGGCATAAAAACAGAAACCATGAGTGCATGAATGTGTTCACAATTTGTTTCCAATGCTTTTGAGTCTATGGGAAAAGCTTCCCATTGTTATCTGTGGTGTTTGTTTTGGCCTGAGCTTTGTAACAGTAGTTGTTAAAGATGACAGTCTGATGAATGAAGTTAGTAAATACCTATAATTGAGTTTGAGCCTGACCTACAAAATTGTGGAATCATGATTTGGCATCAGTGACATGGGTTTTAATGTCATTTAGCTTAAGTTTATTATTTTGTCTATTAATTTCAGACATGAACCTCCAAGGAAAATAGAGCGATTTACTCTTCTCAAATCAGTGCATATTTTCAAAAAACACAGAGTTCAGTATGAAATGAGAACACTTTACAGATGTTTAGAGGTGAGTTTATTTCACCCATTAAGGCATTTTTTAAATATCCAGAATTTAAAATAATATGTATCATAAGTTTCCTTTAACCATGACTTCCTTTTAGCCAGCCTCTACCTTTTAGTTGTAGAAGGCAAATGTCTTTTTTGGTGTTCATGGAAGCCACATAGTAGAAAAACCAAACTCCAAGCCATCCTTTATAGTAGTAAATACTCTAATGCATAAATGCAGATTATACTAATTTTTTTCTCTCCAGTTTTTTTTTCTTTTTATGTCAGCTAATTTTTATATAATCAGATAGCACTGGAATAATTTTGCTCCATGCTTCAAAATCCTAGTTTTTAATACAACTTATAATTATTTCCACAATCTAATGGGATTTTTCTGTGAAGATGATATACAGCATTAAGTTTTTCTTTCAACTGTTATCATTCATTTATGTGTTCACTAGAGCTAGTATAGTTTTATTATTAAAGGAAGCTGTGAGATCTGGAGTCAGACTGACAGTATTAAAAAGTTCAAGTTTTGGTGCTTACTAGCTATGTGATGTATGCATCATCTATAAAATGAAAATAATAATGAACCCAGCTCATAAAGTTAGCGTGAGGATTAAATGACATATTTGGGTAAAGCACTTAGAATACTTCCATCACACAATGAATGATTAATAAGTGTCATTTTTTAAAAAAGCATATGTGTTTTACATGAAAGCACTGTACATTTAAGGGTACAAATATGTTAGCAAGGCAAGATAGTACAGGCAGACTGAGGAAGGAAGGTCTTAAGTTCAAAACTAGCCCTGGCAACTTAGTGAGACCCTGTCTCAAAAGTAAAAAAAAAAAAAAAAAAAAGGGCTGTGGATGCTTGCTAACATGTGTGAGGCTCTGGGTTCAATCCCCAGTATGGCAAAAAAGGCTCAGTGGCAGAGCACTTGCCTAGCATGCATAAGGCACTGGGTTCGATTCTCAGCACCATATAAAAATAAACAAATAAAATAAAGGCATCGTGTCCATCTACAACTACCAAAAAGTTGTTTTTAAAAAGCTGGGGGGCGTGGTACACAAATATGTTAAGAAAAGGTTCCTACTTTTAAAGGAAAAAGGTCTAAGTAATCCTTTTGTTTTTCTTCTTTTGTGATATTGGGAGTCAAACCTACGGCCTCATATATGCTAGGCAAACCCTCTACCACTGACCTATACCCCCAGCCCTAAATAATAAAGAAAGACTCAAAATTTTATCTATGTCAGCAGAATCATCTTGCTGTAGTGCATAATAAAAATCATAAACTAACTTTATCTGGTAATCTAGTCTTGTTTCTTTTTGGTTTTATTTGGTGTTTTGTGGACCCCTGGCTTTTAGGGTGGCATCTGGTAAGAAGCAGACTTCAGGGCCCCATATCTAGTTCAGCCAAAGGATATACTTTCTTTTTTTTCTTTTTTTAGTCTGTTAAAGATTCTTAGGGGAAAACCAGCAGGCTTCACTTTTACCAAAAAACAAACAACAAAGAAAAAGACTTAACAAAGATTTCTGCTTTAACAGCATAGCATGAACTGTTTTTATGTCTGATATTTTAGTTAGAGCATCTAACTGGATGCACAGCAGATGTCTACTTGGAATATATTCAGCGAAACTTACCTGAAGGAGTTGCCATGGAAATAACGAAGGTAGGACTTGAATTTCTACCTCTTTGGGGGATACCTGTGTTGTATCAGCCTGGTATATCGCAGCCTGGTCTTGGCCCCTGCAGTGGAGAGGAAGACCTGTCGCACTGGAAGCTGTGTGTGCACAATGGCTGGGGGTTCCCCCATTCCCGTGCAATCTCAGAATCCCCCCACATCCTCATTGAGCCATCTCTGAAGTCTTCCACCCTACTAGTTGTCTGGACTTGGTGACCACATTGTGTAGCGTTCCCTGGAGATCACTGAGGATCAAATAAATTATTTATATATATATATATAAAAATTATTTTATATATATATATATAAAACAAATGCCTTACATATATCAAGTTGCCTTCACCCCATTTTAGACTCCTACAAAAAGGCAAAGGGGATTTAAAAAATTAACAAATTCACTTTGTAGCAAAGATCATTTAAATAGTTTTGTTTCTGTTTTTAGACACGGTTAGAACAATTACCAGATCACATCAAGGAGCCAATCTGGAAACAAGTACCAGAGGAAAAAGAAGAAAGCAAGTCATGAAGCTTCAGGGAACCACTTTGGACTTGAAAGAAGAGTGGGCCAGATATGTGTGTTTGAGTGGAGAGTGCTTGCAGCTGAGGCAGTCTGGAGTTCTCCTCACTGCTCTGTTGAGTCCTCTTGCCCAGTTCAGTTGAAAACAGGGAATGGAAACTTAATGACAGGCTGAAATGGAGTAAAAGACATTTTGTTCTTTTTTATTCATGTCATTGTTTCCGTTCCAGTTTTAAAAACTTGAGCAGCTAGCCATGGTGGTGCACATTTATAATCCCAGCTGCTTGGGAGGCTGAAGCTGAAGCAAGTTCAAAGCCAGCCTCAACAACTCAGTGAAAGCCTATCTCAAAATAAGAAAAGAGCTAGAAATGTGATTTGGTGAGAGATTCCCCTGGGTTCAATCCCAAGTACCACAAAAAATAAAAAGTACAAGCGAACCACTTGGATACTCTGGGCCAAGAGTCAAATTTTATATTTTGTTCTGCTATTGTTCTATTATTAGTTTCTACTGATTTTAATTTATAGTATTTCACATATTGGAAAATGAGTGGTTTTTTTCACACACTTTTTTAATTTTAAATATCCTCAAAAGAGAACCTTTGGTTAATTTAACACTGAGCAGTTAAAGGTTTTAATCTTTACTTTCGTACAGGCTAGCATATGCTGCCTTGGCGGTAATGACCAACAAATTGACCTTATTTAAACATTACATTTTTGAATGTGGATATACCTGCAGCAGATGAAGCACATTTATGACACACACTAAACTCTCATAACCCAAACACCTACAGGGTTGCTTCCAAGGTTCATACAGTGGAGTTTATGCTCTCAAGAAATTACTATGTGTGTCATTTCATTCATCCTGTGATTCATTCAGTAAGCTTTTATTTGTTAAACTTTGCACTCACTACTGTAGTAAATACCAGTAATTGAATAGAATTAATGTCTTTTAAACATTGAAGGCCCAGATAAATATTTTTCCTTAATATCGTCCCCAGTAGGAAGCCCTTTTGGTAGTTTTCATTTGCTTTATTTGGAGATGTCTACTTTTCCATGAAATTAAAACCCTGAAAGATGCAAGAGTACAATGGACTGAACAGTTGGTATGGCAACCTCAGGAGGGTGCTTTGTTTCTTTTTTACAGCAGAATCAGGTCTGTGTCTGTGGTTTCTTTCACATCTTTGGGGTAATTATGACTTCTCAGTTTTTTTTTCCCTTTAAACTGATCTGCTATCAGGTATCAGTGTTTTGAATACATCCTACTTATGTGTCAGACTTACTTTATTGTGATTAACATGAAAAGAACTATAGCCTGTGCCCCATGACCTCCTTAGCTCAGTTATTGACTGTCATTCACAAATGTGTAAAGCATACTCATCCCAGGTATAAGCCTCAGAATTAACTAGTCAATCAGACAGAAGCAATATGATAATGACTGCATCTAGCAAAGCAGCAATTTGTGACACACTTTTATTTTAAAAGGCAGGTCTTTAAAAATAAGTATAGGTCCACATGTAAGGTTTTTTTTTTTTTTTTGGCATGTGTACACATACACACTCACATATGCAATGTAAATCACTTATAATTGTGCTCACCTCCAACAATGACTCTGAGAAAGGACTCCTTCAAAGGCTATGTCTATTTCTAGATGTTTTCATACTAATTATGCTGTAAACCAGGTTGCTTATCCTAGCACTTCAACTTTTATGTTAAACCCTTATTTTAAGGAAAATATTCAATTAACTACGGATGTAGCAGAAATTAGCAATATTTCTTTTGCAACAAAGTATTTGGCATATTCAAAGTCTCTTTGGTATAAACAAGGTAATTTCTTATCCTGATAGGCTGAAGAAGAGATTGGGGGGGGGGAGATTTTTTTTTAAATTTGGTCCTGAGTAAAATGCATATTCTGAAAATTAGAAGCAATACCCGGGTCTCACTTTCCATGGTTTCATGAGAGAAGTGGATCTGATGGTAGAATGAACCAGAAGGCAGGTAGAAAGTAAGATTTATTTTTCATTAAGGTGTAGCCCTAAGTTCATTATTGCTTTCTCTCATGTAAAGCATATCAAATATAATTATTTTCTGCTCTGTTCAAAGTTACAGATATAACTATTAAACAAAACTAGTTCAGTGCCAAGTTTCAGTTTTTTCAAAAAGAAATGATACATACTCATAACATTAAATATATAAAACAGTTATTTTAAAACCACTAGTCCCCTAACCTTTCTACTTGCCAACAAGCATTCCTTTCCTGCGTTAAACTAAATTTATTTCACTATTATTGAGTAGCAGAGTAGAGAAAATGTGGACTTTGGAGTCAAACAAGCCTATCAGATAAGAGTTCAGACTCACAAAACTGCTGTAAGCTCAGGCAAGGTACTTAGCCCTGTCAGAGCCTTAATTTACTAATTAGTAAAATGTGAGAACTAGTATCTACTTACCAAGATTGGAGTATTAAATTAGATAACTGATAATGCATGTTGTGCAGTGCTGGGCAGATAATAGACATTGGGTAAATAATCATTGTTACTAGATGCAGCACCACTGTGATGAAGCCTTAGATGTTCGTGTGCTGCCTTGTTGAAGAACCAGCTGGAAAGGCCCTTGGATTGTCACCCAGGAAGGGACAGTACTTACCTTAGAGTATGGCTGTGAAGTTTAGATGGAAACAGTCACATGCTTATTATAGACACCATGTATCATGCTAAACTTCATGTGGGCCATCATTTACTATCTGATAACTCATTAGCAACCCAATAAAGTCATTCCTATTATTATCTGTCTTTAAGGAGGTAAAAAAAAAAAAAAAAAAAACCTTGGAAGAGTTCTGACTTGCCCACTCAGTTGCCCTTTCAGTGGGAAGATAAAACAGGCCAAAAAATTGGTGAAATTAATTTAAGTTCAGGTTAGTGACGGGGACAACCCTAGAGTCTACTTAAAGGGGCTTTGAGAAACAAATGTCAATGTGTTAAATGCAGGATTTTTTGTGCAGGGGTTGGGAGTAACCTGGGATTGAACCCAAGAGTGCTTAACCCCTGAGCCACATCCCCAGCTTAGTTGCTGAGGCTGAATTTGAACCTGCAATCCTCCTGCCTTAGCTTCCCCAGCCACTATGAATGCAGAGTACTAAAACCTAAATCCCAGGTTTGATTCCTTTTCACATTAGCAAAATATATTCATTTCTTCTAAGCTTAGAAGTAAAGAGACTGACTAGGGGAAAGAACTAAGGGATAAAAGTTTAATGTGCAAAAAGGCAAGAACCAGAATACATAGTTTGTCCCCTGCTGCTGGCACAGGGCCAGAGTGTGAAGGGGCAGCATGAGAGTTTGAGCTTCAGCAAGGCAGGTCCTACTGGGCCCCCAGGACAGTGGCATGGAAGTGGCTGACATTAGGGCTTAGGGCCAGGCCTGACTGGGGCTCAGTAGACCCTGGTCTGTGGTTTTGAAACACCTTTGTTCCTGCACCAGGCTTATGGCTGACTGCCTGCAATCCCCAGGGTTCTTTGCAAATCCCTTTCTCAATTCCTAGCCCTGCCCTCCTTAAATCCTTACTATTGTTATTCTCTTCAAGCTATCAGTTCTCTTTGTGGATTTTTAATCCTCTTTAAAAATGATATATTTATACTTCAGTAGCTCAGCAGTATTTTTAGGGTAAGTCATGGGCAATGACCCACATAAAAGCCAATCAAAATTTAGATTCCTCAGCCAAAGTCTATGATGTAGTTCATTCACAAAAATTTATTGAATAGAAGTACTTTTTTTTAAGTCTCAGATGTTTTATTACAGTAACAACAGTTTAAGACATCAATATATAAGAAATAATATAATTAAGAATAATAAATTTTAGTCAGCTTTTCATTCCTGTGACTCGTACTGTCCTTTAATTTCTCCACAGTGTGGCTTAAATGTCAATAAACACCAAGAGATGGACAGAGCTCATGCCACCCTCACATGAAGCCAGTTGAGATGCTGGCCATAGAAAGCTACAACTGCCAGTGGCCACGGTGATTGTAGGTGTGTTGAGATGAGAAAGTTTGAAAACAACTGGGGAGATTGTTTGTCAAGGCCTCTTCCAGTTCAAAAATCCCACATTTTTTTTTTTTTAATTTTTAAGTACCTGATTATGAGGCTTGCTTTTTTTTCTTTAGAATTGGGAATTGAACATTGAACCAAGGGACATTTAATCACTCATCCCAGTCCTTTTTTTTTTTTTTTTTTTTTGAGACAGGGTCATTTACAGCCTCGCTAAGTTGCTGATGCTGACCTTAAACTTGAGATCCTGCTGCCTTGGTCTCCCAAATTGCTGAGATTATAGGCGTGTGCTCTATCCCCATGCCCCTAATCTGGGCTCAGAGGAATCCAGAAGGAGTTGAGCTGTGAAAGGAAGGAGTGACATCTCCTATGAATTCAGCACTGACCGATCCTGCCACTTTGCTCAGATACTCAACAAGGACTTGAGTTCCTTATATGTGTCAAGCACTCTTCTAAACCTGAGGGTTCAGTAATGCACATAATGAAGTTCCTTTCCTCATAGAGAATAGGCTGTAGTGGGGAATATAGAGAATAAGCCAGGAGGGAAGTTTCCATAAGCAGCAAGAACTATGTAGAAAATAAAATAGGATAATGTCAGAATTTCTTGAATGGTCCCTTGGGGGAGTGAGTTCTCTGAGGAGGAGAGAATCCTGGGAAGGAAGCAACTCAAGCAGGAGGGACATTAAATGCTAAGACTCTGATCCTAAAATGAGCTTGTGAATGAATGAATCCTGACATCCCACAGGCCTCAGCTCTGGGGATGGTTTGACTCACAAGTGTGTTTGCACTATGTGAAGATGTAAGTAGGATGGATTGTCACGTAAGGAGTGTGTCACTGGTGGGAAGGAGTATGGAATTTATCTTAAATGTAAATGGGGAGCTATAAGAAGGTTTAGAGCAGGAGAGCAACAGGATCTGATTTAGGTTTTAGAATACGCTGCTCTTGCTGCTGGGTAAAAGAGTGCCCAAAGCAGGCTGGGACGCTCATTAGGGATCTGTAGCAGTGGGCCAGGTGAGTGGGCCTGGACTAGAATTGGAAACATCGCTGATGAGGAGCGATGAGACTCAGTATATACAGTTTGCAGGTAGAACTGACAGAATGACCTGCTAATAGAGTGAAATGAGTTCTGAGGGACAGAGATGATTCCTAGTTGAGTGCCTAAGCAGTTAATCAAATGTAATGACTGAGGAAGAATTAGGGGAATTGATGGGAAACAAGTCTGATTTGCTAAGTTTGCAATCTGGATATTGGCATCTAGTATGCCTTTGGATGCAAGCACCTGGGGTTATGGGGCAAGGTTCAGGATGGAGATAAAAAATTTGGAAGCTCTCAGTCTGTAACTGATCTGTACTGTCAAGGGAATGAGTGAAATCAGGGGAGAGAGCAGGAAGGCAGGAGTACTGAGGACAAGCCTGGCAACCCCAGAGTATTCAGAGGCTGGTGAAGGGGCTGGCAGAGGAAATGAACAGCTGGTGAAGCCAGAGAGAACTCAGAGGAGTGTAGGGCCTTGAAACCCAGAGCAATTGGAGAAAGAATGTGGTTTGGTGAAGTAGGATGAATCTGGCAGATTAAGTAAGAAAAGTAGGTCCCTGGAGACCTTTAAAAACCTTTTCTGTGGACCAACAGGAGTGAACGATCAGCTGGAGCAAGCTGAGGAGTGAATAAGGGATAAAGAAGAGGATGCAGAATCCAACCCGTAGTGAAACAGGAGAGCCAAGGAGGGCCAGCACGGGTGGAAGTTAGTGCTGTGGACATGGTTGGCCGCATGAGCAAGAGGGCCACTGCAACAGGGAGATGCATCTATAAAGCCCATCTGCCAGTTCATCAATGTCTGTCCCATTACAACAGAAAATAGTCCACCCTGTTATCAACTGCTTGTGTGAGATGGATTGAATCCCCTTGTTAAGGAAGAAGGGTTGTCCAACAATTGTATTTGCCAGATTCATCAATTTATTGCTAACACTCTGAAAGATGGAAGGAGATTAATTATTTTGATGGACTTAGAAGTTTTGAACTCAGCTGAAACAATTGGGATGAAGTTTGGCAATCCAGTGCCCTATCATGAAGGACATGGGCAGCAGCAAGTTCCTTCTCCCATCTCACCTGTCAATCCACCACCCAGCAAGCCCCAGCAACAGAATGGGAACTCCAGAGAGGTTTCCACTGTATCTAAGGCTTATTGTGCCTCAGAAACATTTGGAACACCTGAAGGGAACCAGTCTATTGCATCCTTCTGGGAGGACACAGTCCAAAGTGGTACCCATCACCAGCCTCATGCCTTACCAGTCCAAGTGGACTATCAATGCTGTGTAACCAGAACCTGGAGCAATTCTTGAGGAGAAGGAAAACTTTTTTGTAAAGAAATAGTTGATGAAAGTGATGAAATCACAGCTAGTGCTTTCAGTGATCAAGTGGACAAGTTCTTGCCCTTATTGAAGTTAATAAGGGGTATTATTTCTCAAATGGCACCCTGAAGATCACTAACAAAAAATTCTCAGCTGTTAAACATGACTATGAGAATGGGTGCAATGGCACATGCTTTTTTTTTTTTTTTTTTTTTTTTTTTTTTTTTTTTTTTTTTTTCTAAAGAGAGAGAGTGAGAGACAGAGGGGGACAGAGAGAGAGAGAGAGAGAATTTTAACATTTATTTATTTTTTTCTTAGTTCTTGGCGGACACAACATCTTTGTTGGTATGTGGTGCTGCTGAGGATCGAACCCGGGCCGCACGCATGCTAGGCGAGCGCGCTACCGCTTGAGCCACATCCCCAGCCCCCAATGGCACATGCTTATAATCCCAGCGGCTCAGGAGGCTGAGACAGGAGAATCGTGAGTTCACAGCCAGCCTCAGCAAAAGCTAGGTGCTAAGCAACTCAGTGAGACCCTGTCTCTAAATAAAATACACAATAGGGCTGGGGATGTGGCTCAGTGGTTGAGTGCCCCTTGAGTTCAATCCCCAGTCCAAACAAACAAACAAACAAAAAGACTATGAGATGACTTTCAATAAATGAGATTTCAGTTATGCCCTGTGAAGATGGTCATCATTTACCAATAGTTCAGTTTGATTTCACAGGGATTGGTGACATAGAGAACATAATCGGCATCTGCAAGAGCTATGAAAATGCTATTAAAATCGCAACAAAGTATAACAACAGAGAAGTGATAGACTTGTCAGGGCAAATAGTGACTGCTACTCTCTGGGGAGAAGATGCTGATAAGTTCTATGGTTCTAGCCCGTGATGTCATGGAAGGAGCCAAAGTCTCTGATGGAGACTTTCTTTCCATGCTGTCTTTAAGCACTATCATTGTGAATCCTGACATCCCACAGACCTCTAAACTCTGGGGATGGTTGGACTCACAAGGACAAGCCTTGTATGGTGTTTCCATCTTGATCTAAAGACTGGAGAAGGAGGAGGGAGCAACTCCAACTGGAAAACCTTTATGTGAGGTTAAATGGGAGAACCTGATCAGGGTGACAAGGCAGGCTAGCTTAGCTCTTGGCAACAGTGGTGTGTCTTTGCAAAGAGAACTGTGTGCACCAGGTTGCCTGACCTAGGACTGCAGTGAGAAAGCGATTGACCAACAGAATGGATTATTCCACTGTGAAAAGTATGACAGTGAATTTGCCAGTTTGATCTTGTCAGTGAATATCGCGGATTCCAAGAGAATCAGTGAGTGACTTGTTTCCAGGAGTCTGCTGAAACCATCCGTGGACAAAACACTGCTTTTCTTGAGGAATTAAAAGAGAGGAATGAGCAGGCATTGAAGAAGTTTTCCAGATCACCAATTTTCGAACTTTCACATTCAGAATCAGAGTCAAACTTCAGACCTACAAGAGGGTGCCAAATTAAAGCCACCATGATGGCCGTGGAGCCTGTGGACTGCAGAGACTATGGCAGAAGGCTGACCATGAACACCAGAGAAATGCAGCGATGTCGGTGAGCAGAGTGTGAAACAGCTAAAATGGAGCCAGTTTCTTCCCACCCCCCAATGACAGTCCCGCACCACCTACACAGTCAGAGCACCTCTGTGAGCCTCTCGAGACCCAGGCAGAGGATGAGGTGCTCAGAGGGCTCTGGTGCAAACTGTCAGACCTGGGGATCAGCAGCAGGGGTGATAGCCCATGTCCCGCCCTCTGACTTCAGGCTTTTGTCGATTTTAAGATTTTGTTATCTTCAGGCAGCAACTATGTCACAAGTAATTGACTCTAACTCTGCAAACAGTGAAATGTGTCACTCAGGGTAAAGGGGGGGAAGAGGATGCAGAGCAGGTTCGGGAATGTTCAGGTCATCTAATGCTACCTTAGAAAACATTGAACACTTAGTGGCATAAAACAGTAACAACAGCCGGGCTCTGTAGAGCACACCTGTAATTCCACTAGCTCAGGCTGAGGCAGGAGGATCACAAGTTCAAAGCAAGCCTCAGCAAAAGCAAAGCCCTAAGCAATTCAATGAGACCCTGTCTCTAAATAAAATACAAAATCAGGCTGGAGATATGGTTCAGTGGTTGAGTGCCCCTAAATTCAATCTCTGGTACTAAAAAAAAAAAAAAAAAAAAAAAGAAAGAAAGAAAGAAAACAGTAACAACTAAGTTGGTTAGTGCCTCACCATTGCTGAAGCTAGACTCCAACTTGTGTTCCTCCTGCCTCAGCCTCCTGAACCATTGGGATTACAGGCATGAGCCACTGCACCTGAATTAAATTTCTTTTAAAATCAAAATAAAAGGTGAGCCAGATGCAGTGGCCCACAACTGTAATTCCAATGACTCAGGAGGCTGAGGCAGGAGGATCACAAGTTCCAGGCCAACCTCAGCAACTTAGCAAGACTCTGTCTCAAAACAAAATCTAAAAGGGGCTCAGGGTGTAGCCTGGCACTAGTGTGCTTGCCTAGCATGTGAAGGCCCTGGCTTTGATTCCCAGTCCTTCAAAGACAAAATGAACACAATCTTCATTTTTATACTGAGTAATGAAATATAATTTTAATATTTACTTATCTAATTTTTACATAATGACCCATGAAGACAAAAGTGTGGCCCACCAAAGTCATGATGTGGTCCTGGGTGTGTGGTCAGGACAGATTGTCTTGTTTTCATTCAGGTAATATTAAAGCATGTCTGAATGCTGACAGGTGTGATCTGTTAGAAATTGAGGCTGCAGAAGAGAAAAGGATGAATCGTGAGAACAAAGTCTAGTAGGTGAAAGGAGACATCATCTGGGAAGCAAATGTCAGGGCAGACAGGTAAGGAAGTGGGCAGGGGATGCCGCTTCCACTGTAGCAGAAGAGGGCAGAGGATGTGGGCACAGAGACACAGAAGTGGTAAACATTGGTGGGAAGAGTTGCTGTTTGGCTCCTCTGTCTCTCTGTGAAGGATGCCACTTGGTCACCACTCCCAGGGGAGTGCACGGAAGGTGTGGAGACAGAAAGTCTTTTCTAGAGGAAGAGTGACTTTGACGGGGAAGAGCATGAAAGTCCACCATTATTTGAAGTGTGTGCAGCCAGCGTGATTTTAGGATCATCTCTAGCAGTGCTCTGCCTCCTGGGTGCGGTGAGGTGTTAGTACACAGTAGGTAGCATTGACCAGGACCTGGTTTTGCCAAGGAAGTTGGAGGGAGAAGGGGGGCAGAGAAGTCAAGGAAACAGCAAGCACACAGGGCAGTGGGGTGAGGACAAGGAAGAAAGGAGGACATGAGCAAGGTGTCAGATGTTAGATCAACAAAATGGAAGTGTCACTCAGATTGATGAATTACTACAGTGCAAGTATTAGAGTAAGCCATTAGAGAGGCTGACTAGAGAAGGCAATGTCTGGGCTGGGATTGTAGCTCGCCTGGCACATGCGAAGCACTGGGTTCAATCCTCAGCACCACATAAGAATAAATAAATAAAATAAAAGTATTGTGTCTTTCTACAAGTAAAAATTTTGAAAAAAAAAAAAGCAGGCAATGTCTGTTTCAGAGGCAGTTGAGAAATCAATGACAGCAAAGCCTAGGGTTGTGCTTCTCAGATGTTATTGTATGTCAGAAGCATGGGAGGGCTGGGGTTTGCTAAATTGCTGGGCCCCATCCCCAAAGCCACCCATTCATCTTGGTGGGGGGGGGTGCGTGTGCTGAGAATTTGCATGTCTAACAAGCTCCCAGATGCTGCAGCTGCAGGCCCTGGACCACAAGGGTATGGTCAGGGCTCAAGGTTGGGAGGAGAAAAACTCTTTGCAACTAAGAAGACTGGGTGGTCAGTTATCAGCCTGGATGTTCAAGTCACTGAAATATTTGCTACTTTGAGACAAGAAGTGACATCCCCAGCAAATGATGTCAACAGAAAGAGTAAATAGAGGGTGGAGTCAGATATGGCTCCCGTGGGACAGGCATTTTTGAGAAAGAAAAGACAAGAAGCCATCAGGAAGCAACGGTAAGGAGCAAGGAGGACACTGGTCCTACCCTAGCTTTGAAGAATATGGAAGAAATTCCCCTAGTACTTGAAGGGCTGGCAAAGGAGGGGGTTCCCATTTTGGGAATGGCAAGAAGGTTCAAGGAACTTTGAGGAATTGGGGGTGTTCTGGAGTAGAAGCAGCGAGGGGAGGTAAGCACAATTTGGGGATGGCAGTGCTACCCCTTGATTAAGAGCTGATTCACCAGAACTTCAGCCCTTAAAATCTAGAAAAATCACTTCTGTGGGTCTTCTGATTTCTTGGAAGTATTATTTTTATATTACATTAAAATAAGCCTGTAGGGCTGGAGTGGTGGCTCAGTGGTAGAGCGCTCACCTTGCATGTGCAAGGTCCTGGGTTCACTCCTCAGCACTACATAAAGATAAATAAATAAAACAAAAGTATTGTGTCCAACTACAACTAAAAAATAAATATTTAAAAAATAAGCATGTGTATATAATTGATCCAAAGCAGATTGCATGACCTTTTCTATAAAAGTGAGAGCCTTCAAAGGTATTGTGGCCATTCCCCAAGATCCTTCTCCTATGTTAGAACTTTGGAGGGAATGTCAGAAAGGATTGGGTGGGTTAGAGGGAGGCATTTGTATTTTGAACTAGAAAATGAAAAACTTCCAAGACTCAGGCCTGATCTGTAAGGGAACGGCCCCTAGTGTGCTAAGGACAGCTGCTCCCCTAGAACTCTTTCCACCACAGATTCTGCAGACCACATGGAAGGACAAGACCAAATCACCAGAAGGTTCTATTCTAAGGGCTAGAAGTTGGTCTTCCTTCCTCTTTGGATTTTAGAATCTTCTGTATCTCCAAGATGGGCCTCTCTGTGCCTTGCTGTACTCAATTAAAAAGGAAGGCAGAGTATGTGTGATGGGAGCATGCCAGCCTGTCATCCTCTCTCCCACCTACATCTGCCTGTTTCTTCCCTTCTTTTATTTCTTGGTCCTCTTGGGTCAGCCTAGGTGCTTGGTTAGCAGAACTAACAAGAGGGGTGGGGCTGAGGGGGCTTAGCAGACTGGAGGTCAGACCTTCCAGAAGAATCTTTTAATGGTCTTAGGGCAGCTTAGCTGGTCTGGGCCTGCCCCACCAGGCTGTCAGCCCTACCCTGTTCATCATGTTAGTTGCCCAGGAGACTTATGAATAGGCTGGTCAAGTAAAGGAGACGGGGGAAGAGGGCCCTAGCCTAGGGAATCAGTCAGCAGAGGCCCAAGAGAAGTCGCAGACCTTTACCCCCTGACATTCCTCAGGGCAAGATGGGGCAGCAGTTCAGCTGGGAGAAGGTGGAGACATCTGGGGAGATGGACGTGGCCGAGCTCCAGGAGTGGTACAAGAAGTTTGTGATGGAGTGCCCCAGTGGCACCCTCTTCATGCACGAGTTCAAACGCTTCTTCAAGGTCACAGACAACGAGGAGGCCACCCAGTGCGTAGAAGGCATGTTCCGAGCCTTCGACAAGAATGGGGTAAGACCGCCTGGAGGGAGGACCTATAGCCAGTCCAGCTGTCACCCTTGGCATCCTTGAATCCAAGATGCATCCTCTAGGATAACCCCTGTACCCCCAAGCCCTCTCTGCTCTTCCTCAGTCTCAATTCCCTCAAATTATTTTCTTCTCTCCCCCTTATTCTGTCCCTTTCCCTCTGTCTTGCCTGCCTCTCTCTCAGCATTTATCCTATGCTGTCTGCATCCTGTTTCTGAGACCTGAAGGTGTCTGACCGTCCAGGGCTTCTCTTTGTGTGTTTTTGGATGAGGCTCTATAGCCTAAGGACCTAGGGTTTTGACACCTGCCAGAGCCCCTCTCTGTCTAAACCCAAGGAGCTAAGCAGATGTCCCAAATGGGACAAGATGTCTTAGCACACACCGTGAGCTGCCCCTTGCTGGGGTCCTTTGAACTGAGGCTGGCCAGGTCTTCCCTGTTGTGGGTGCTAGAGGAGGCTGTAGCCACCCGGGAGAGTGGCTGGATCCCTGGGCAAAGTCCTTTTCCACTCTCCAGGTCATGGAGGGTCTCATGAAGCCATCCAAACCCAGGGCTTCTTTAAGCTCTTCAATGGCACTGGTAGCTAAGAAGATAGCTAAATTTTGTATACACATGTAGGAATTTAATTTTAAAATTCAATTTGATCACCCGGGTGCAGTGGCACACGCCTGAAATCCCAGCAGAGGTGAGAGGTTTACTAGCTCCAGACCAGCCTGGGTATTTAGCAAGACCCTGTGTAAAAATAAAAAATAAAGAGGGCTGGGAATATAGCTCAGTGAAAGGGCGCCCCTGGGTTCAATCCCCAATACTGCCCACCAAAAAAATAAATCAGGAAGTTTCAACATTGAATTTTTATTGTCTAGTAATCATCCATATTCAAGTTTGGTTAAAATTAAAATTAAAATTTTATAACTTCTTTTCTTTTTTAATATTTATTTTTTAGTTGTAGTAGGACACAATACCTTTATTTCACTTACTTATTTTTATGTGGTGCGAGGATCCAACCCAGGGCCCACACGTACAAGGCGAGTGTTCTACCGCTGAGCCACAACCCTCTCTTTTCTTTCTTCCTTCTTTCCTTCCTTCCTTCCTTCCTTTCTTTCTTTCTTTTTCTCTCTCTTTCTTTTTTTTTTTTGGTACTGGGGATTGAATTCAGAAGCACTCAACCACTGAGTCACATCCCCAGTCCTATTCTGTATTTTTATTTAAAGACAGGGTCTCACTGAGTTGCTTAGCACCTTGCTTTTACTGAGGCTAGCTTTGAACTCGCAATCCTCCTGCCTCAGCCTCCCAAACTTCTGGGATTACAGGCATGTGCCACCATGCCCAACTTCTTCTTCTTCTTCTTCTTTTTTTTTTTTTTTTTTGGTCTGATCACACACTGCATTTATCTGACATGTCTCCTTTAATTTGGAAGCTTCAATCTCAGCCTTTGTTTTAATTGAGCTTGACATTTTTTAAGGCTTTAGCCCTAATCATTTTGTAGAGGATCTGACAATTCAGATTTGTCTAGTATTTCCTCATGAGATTCAGCTTCCAGTAAAAAAGGCCATGGGTGTGATGTCATGGCCCTCTCAGGGCTTCATATGGAGTACATGATGTTGGTTCGACCCATGACTGAAATAACTTCAAGCTTTTGGTGGAGATGGTGTCTTCCTGGTTTCTCCACGGTAGTTACTGTATTTTCTTTGCAATTAATAAGTATCTTATCAGGATCTCCCTGGAGACAACAAATATACTATTGTTCATCAAATCATCATCTACCAGTTTGGGCATCTGTTGATATTTTTCTGACTCCACCATCCTTCTTTAGTAGTTAGCATCTTACTGTAAGGAAGAGCTTCCCTGGAAGGCGTTGAGCTCCTCTGTCAGGGACTTAGCCTTCTTTCTCTCCCATGTAGTCTGTGTCTCTAAACCTACCATCCCCTGCCTTAGCACAATCATTTTTGCCCCATGTTGGGGATGGTACCTAAGGCCCCTGCACTCTAGACAAGTGCTCCACCACTGAGCTCCACCCAGCTCTTCAGCAGAATCTTGATATCAGAGTTTTATTTCTGGACAATTGGTCTGAGATTTTTATTTTTATTTTATTTGTGTGTGTGTATCGGAGGATTGAACTCAGGGGAGCTTAACCACTGAGCCACATCCCCAGCCCTTTTTTGTGTTTTTTATTTAGAGACAGGGTCTCACTGAGTTGCTAGGACCTCACTAAGTTGCTGAGGCTGGCTTTGAACTTGAAACCCTCCCACCCCAATCTCCCAAGCTGCTGGGATTACAGGCGTGCACTAGCACAACTGACTGGTCTGAGATTTTTAGAACAAAAATTATGAAAAGAATTCAAAGATCCATCTCACATGTCCAAATACAGGGTGATGAAATGGGTTTGGTGGAGACAGAGCTATAGATATACCCTGTCTCTGCCCCTCTACTCCCTTGCGACTCTCTTCTCTCTCTCCGGAATTAGCCTTGTGACACCCTGGGATGGAAGGAAAGAGAGAGTGAAAGCTGAACGTCACTTGGGATTCTTGTATAACAGCATTGGGGTCAGGGCTGGTGCACAAATACAGCCCATTCAGAGAGAAATGAGGCATATAATCCCCCAGAGCAGACGGCACGCCCACCCCACTCCACAGCAGATGAGACATTTCCACCCCTCACAGGCCTCTGGGTAATTGGAGCTGACTAGGTCTGTGCACAACAGATGAGATTAGCACCATCTAGAAGCTTCCCAGAAATGATCCTGGGGTGTGCAGTGACCTCCCCTTTGAGGAGAAGCAACTAATGAATCATCTTCTCTCCACTGACTCACATTGAGAGAGGTGGTTTGGAACCAGAAGTTTCTGGACAAAGAATGAGGGAGAATCTAGAAACCTGGAGACTTTGTCAGGGGTTGGGTTTTGTGGGGGTTACCTCCTTGGTACCTCTAGACATCAAACTCATTTGCTAGACCTTGTTACTCGGGGTGTAGCTCAGTGATAGAGAGCTTACCCAACATGTGTGAGGTCCAAGGTTCCATCCCCAGCACCATGAGAGAATGAAAAAGAGAGGGGAGCAGGGAAGGAAGGAAGGGAAGAAGGAAGGAGAGAAACATTGAGTGGAGAACAGAAGTTTTTTTCCAACTTGATGAACTAGAGGAGACATGTAGCTTGGGCCCCTCCAAGTCTCAGATTTCTCATCTATAAAACGGGAATAGCATTTTTATACTCAATTCTTATTAAAGAAGAAACACAGGATTGGTTTGTAGTAAGTTTTGTTGGGGAATTGAACTCAGGGGCACTCAACCACTGAGTCACATCCCAACCCTTTTTTTTTTTTTTTTTTGTATTTTACTTAGAGACAAGGTCTTAACAGCTTAGCACCCCGAAGTTGCTGAGGAGGGCTTTGAACTCGTGATCCTCCTGCCTCAGCCTCCCAAGCCACTGGGATTACAGGCGTGCGTCACTGTGCTTGGCTTGTAGTAAGCTTAATAAATAATAAGTACAAAAGAAAATATCCTTCCAAACAAATAACCACTGCTTAAGAATCTACTCCAAAGAAATTACTAGACAGTGACTCAGGAGTCAGAGGCAGTAGGGTCTTAAGTTCCCAGGCCAGCCTGGGTAATTTAGCAAGGTCCTGCCTCAAAATAAAAAAAAAAAAAAAAGAAAAAAGTCTGGAGATGTAGCTAAGTAGTAGAGCCCCTGGGTTCAACCTTCAGTACAGGGAGGGACAGGTGGAAGAAGGAAGAAAGAAAAGACAGCATCAGAAATATGTAAGAAAAAAATACACATCAATGTTCCATATGCAATATAAAATATTAGAGCCAGGCATGATGGTATACACCTGTAATCCCAGCAGCTCAGGAGGCTGAGTCAGGAGGATCTCAAGTTCAAAGCCAGCCTGAGCAAGTTGGCAAGGCGCTAAGCAACTTAGCAAGAACCTATCTTAAAATAAAACATAAAAAGGGCTGGGGATGTGGCTCAGTGGTTAAGTGCCCTTGGATTTATTCCCTACTACAAATCATTAAATAAATGCATATTTTAAAAAATAAAATATTAGGAATATGTTTCACAGAAGAGAATGCCCAGTACTCCCAAGCCCCACAAATATTGATAGTTCATATAATTCTTAAAAACATGAGAAGATATTAAATGGACATCCAGCAAATAAAACTACAAACATAGTTTGACCCCAATTAGGTAAGTATATGGGGAGGGGGGCCAGGAGAACCATGTATTTGTAGGAATGATAAATAAAATATGTTGAATAAAACCCTTGGTGTTGAGGCAATCTAGGGTTACTTTCCTCTTATTTTTTCCTCAGTCTTTTTGCTATTTCCTTCATTCTCTGCCATTTTATCCTGTTGCTCAACCCTTGCCTACTTAGGTACCCCTTGGTTAAAGCTCCCTGAGTGGCCAGACCCAATGGGACAGAAGTGTTCTGAGCCATTGATGTCCTCACTGATTCCAAAGTCACGTGAATGATGATATTCCCGGGGAAGCTAATGGCTTAGGTTTTTCATTTGGAGGGCATCGGTCCCAACCCTGGAGTAAGTGAGCTCCTATAATTGACACCCTGGCCCAGCCGACCCTCTATGGCCTCCATACACCAGCCCTTCACCTCACACACATTTGGGGGAGAAAAGCAAGCATCTACTTCTCCAGTTTCTTGATTTCTGCTTTTGGAATAATGGTTGCTGTCACATTTCTGTCCCAAGAAGGTTCATTTTTTGTCAGGGTATCTGTAAAGTAGGCTGTGCTCCTCCCCCTTCCAGTTCTCAATTTCCAACTGCGTTCCACCTCCTCCTACCCTTCCTGGATGGAGTGGGGGTACAGGCCCCTCCTTCCATGTAATGTCCACCTAGGCTTAGAGGTGAGAGGGGACTGGAGCCACTGCCTGCCCTTCCCGGGCACTCGGGGTGAATGCGCATGCAAGGGGAGATGTCAATGAGCTTCCTGATCTTTCAAAACTACTTAAGTCCCAAATTCAGATCAAGTGGATCATTTGCTCAGGATTCATAAGTATGTACAGGACCTCAATTCTACGTACAAGTGGCACTGAGCTAGGCATGGAGAAGAAACGCAAGCAATACCAGCCCTCTCTGTTCTCCAGGAGGGAGGGGAGGCTGCCAGAGTTGGCCCCAAACTAAGGAGAATACAGCAGGTGCTGTGAGCCTGCGAACAGGGAGGGAGGGAGAGACAGAGACCCACACAGAGGCTATGGCGCAGGCGGTGCAAGAAAGAAGGCTTCCTGGAGGAGGGGACTCTCGAGCTGAGCCTTAGGGACAGGGAGGATTGGGTGACCACTGTCAGTGGGAAAGGTCTGGGGGTGGAGAACAGCATGCGCAATGATGCAGAGGCCATGTGGGTTACAGAGATTAGGGAAAGCCCTGATTCTCTGGGGATGGATCACCCTGCGTAGAGCTCACTGCCACCCTCTGGAGGGGCCTCAGCAGCATCCACACCCCGTGCAGGACGACACCATCGACTTCCTGGAGTATGTGGCGGCCCTGAACCTTGTGCTGAGGGGCTCCCTGGAGCACAAGCTGAAGTGGACCTTCAAGATCTACGACAAGGACGGCAACGGCTGCATCGACCGCCTGGAGCTCCTGGACATCGTGGAGGTTGGTGTCCCTGCCTAGAAGCAGGCTCCCCGGGTGCTAGGCACTGCTGGGGCGCGGAGGGCTGGCCACGGGGGGCCCACTGAAGAGAGCCTCTGGGTGGGGTTGGGAAGAGGCACTGAAATCAATCATTCAGAACATGTTCTCTGACCACAGTGAAATCAAGCTGAAAATCAGTGGCTGAGAGTTAAGTAGAAAAATCTGTTTGAAACTTTGGCAACCCCCTTCCCAATACCACGACCCCGAGAAATCACGTTAGTCTCTCTCCCTATCTCTCTACCCACCTCTCCTCTGTCTGTCTGTGTCTCCCACACACACACACATAGTTGCACACAGTAGTTTTAATTGAATCAGGAAGCACACCTGTCGTACGTGACATAACAAAACGTGTGGAGCACCTGGGTTTGTAGAGAAATTTACAGTCTCAAGATGTCTCTATGAAAAAAATAAGAAAGGCTGAAAACTAACGATCTAAGAAGTTATCTAGAGAAAATGGGGGAAAAAAGTAAATTAAACCCAAAGAAAATATATGAGAGGAAAAAATAGAGAGTAGAAATTAATAAAATAAAAAAACAAGTGCTTTAGAGAAAACCAAAGTTGTTTCTTTTAAAAAAACGAACAAAACAGGCAACCAGCCAGGAATGATCAAGGAGGAAAGGTGGCATCTAGTGTCACAGGCTCCCGACACTTTTCCTGTGGCAGCCAGTGGATCCCCAGAACTACATTCATACACAGGAAGTACTGGAGCTGGATTTCAGAGCATCCCCTCGGGTGCCCCCCGGGCCTGTTTAGTCGGGCCTGTGCTCTGCCAGTGCTGGACTGGGCAGTGAGGCCTGGGAGACCAAGACCAAGCAGCCTCTGTCCTCAGCACCCAGATGGGGTCCAGGGAGGGTCCTCAAGTTTTCCCATCTCGTTTGCATTTACTTGGGACCTTTGCAAATGTCATCTCATATTATCTCAAGGACCCAGCGCAAAGGAGAAGGTTGCTTCCAGTCCCAGCCCTGTATCCCCATCACACTATTTGACACCTATACATACAAGATGACACTAAACTATTTTTTCTCCTCTGCATCTCTATTTATTTTTCTGTAGATTGGAATGTCAACTGTTGGTGACTTAGTCATCCCATCCCTCTGCAGATGGCAGTGGGAATGGAAGTGGTGTCGGGGAAGGGCAGATTGAGGCCAGGAAGTCCCCAGGGGGTAATACAACTGGTGTTTGGTACAGGTTGGATCTGGCTTAGATCTGGCTCCTTTGAGACTAAGATGCACAGCCTGGGGCCAGCACTGCAGAGGTGGCACTGAGGGGTGTGGGTAGAGCCGAGGCTTGCAGGGTGTCCTGTCAGGACAGCTGAGTCCTCTCCTCTCTGGCAGGCGATTTACAAGCTGAAGAAAGCCTGCCGCGTCGAGACAGAGACAGAGCAGCAGGGCCAGATGCTCACACCTGAGGAGGTCGTGGACAGGATCTTCTACCTGGTGGATGAAAATGGGGACGGTAAGGGGTGGAGCTACCGGGTAACGGCTGCCTGCTCCCTGTCATCCCCATCTTCTGGTCAAATGCCACGGCAAGTGGCAATATGCCACTTCCCAACTGCTGATATTCTCATGGGTGAGCTGGCTGAGGAGAGGACGACATGAAATACCAAAGGGCGTCACACAGCGCACATGTTTGTGAGAGATTAAAGCTTCCCAGGAGTCACCAAAGGAGGCCAGGCAAGCGAGCAGAAGGAATAGGAACTTTGGAGGTTAACCCCTTAGCCTGGCCTCAGTTTCCTCACCTGGAAAGTGAAGACAACCAGAGTGGCTGAGGGGAACAAATGGGAGGGTGAGTAAGAGCCTGGCAGGGGAGGCGTCTGTTCAGGCCACTGAGCTCCCGGCCCTGCAGCTCAGGGCCCAGCCCTCCAGTGCTGTGCACGGGAACTGGCTTGGGACACTCTTGGAAAGTGTCTTCAGGGAACGCTCAACATTTGAGAGGTGCTGTGTGCAAGAGTAAAGCTACAGTCCCTTGTCAAGAAAGCCCCAGGAGACTCCTGGAGAATCAGAGCATTGACCAGCCACAAGCTCTGGACTCGGTTCTGCGGGCTGGTCTGTAGAAGAGGGGCAGGTGCCTCTTAGGAGGGAAGGTCTCTGTCCTGCCCCCAGCTCCAGGTCTTGCCTTCTTCCCAGTGACCATGTCTCCTGCCCCGTGCTCAGGTCGGCTGTCCCTGAGTGAGTTCGTGGACGGTGCCCGTCGTGACAAGTGGGTGATGAAGATGCTGCAGATGGACATGAATCCCAGTGGCTGGATCACTCAGCAGAGAAGGAAAAGTGCCATGTTCTGAGGGGCCAGGCCCCGGGAAGCCTGTGGCAGTTCCAAGACTGCAGGCTCATCCAAGTTTTCAGAGTAGCAGGAGAGTCCCTGGGCCAGCCTGCTCCTGCCCACACTTTCCCTGGTTCGGACTTGCTGGCACTCCCTGGGCAGGAGTGAGTGGGGCCAGGAAGGGCACAGTCCTTCCCTGGTGGGCAGGGACCAATGGGGCGGAGCCCAGTCTGCAGGGCTGATGGCATTCAGCTGCCCCCACGGTGGCTCAGGGGAAAGTATGCCTTGGCCAGGAGACTGTAGGGGCCCCTCCGATTTCTAGGTGTTCTCAGTTGGAAGCAGGGGCCACCTGAGTAGCAGAGGCCCCATAGACCAAATCAGAATGAGGACCACACACTTACGGAGTGGAAGAGGAAGGAAGCAGGGCTGGGAGGTGTTGAAGCTGAAGAGAAGGTAGGAGTGGGAATCCCAAGGAGTGCCCACAGGGAGGACCCTGCCCACCTCCTCCCCAGGCGTCCTCATCAGGGGTGTTAACAAGGGAAACTTCAGAAAATAAGATGGCAGGCTGTGGTCCTCCGCTGTAGAGGCTGCTGTGCTTAAAGGGGCTGCTTGAGCCCTGCCTGGTGCTGCCCTCCAGCCCTGCTCCCCCACCCTCTCCCCCACCCTCCATCTTTATCCACCCTCTCCACCTCTCCCCCACATCCCCAACAGGGACCTTGCTCCATTCCTTTAGAAGATGGAGAACCGTCTCTGCTTCTGGGGAGAATCGGGGATCTGCGGATCTAAGTTCTAGGCCAGACTTTGCCTCCAATGGCCATGGGACTCCAGAAGGCCATTTCTCTTCCCCAACCTTGTGCAGCTTGGATTCGACAGCAGTTTTCAGATTGTCGTGTTTTTAGATGTGGCATTCTTTTCCGGTATATAAACTCTTGTACAACCCTAATATAGACACTAAAAGAGAGACCTTCTAGTTGAAGGAGGTTGGGAGCTCAGATCCCTCCTACCTCTAGAGACTCCAGAGACACCTCTGAGAACAGAATGTGGAAACCAGCACCCTGAGCAGTGTTACCCTGTGAGACGGTTTGTGGTGGGATCTGGAAGCATGTTTGCTTTACCTTGAGTAGATATGCTTGTGTGTTGATGCATAAAAAATAAAACAAACCTATTGAACCTGATGGTATGATATTTAGTATGGTATGATATTTCACATGATGTTCATATGTCTCTTAGAAATCAATTTCAGGTAAAAAAAAAAAAAGTTGCTTAAAAATAATACACTAGATGGGAAGAGACATGCCCCACATCACACAGATGGCATGTGAACAAAGCTGGGGAAAGTCATCCTAATTATTACAGACACCCTTGATCTTCAGGACTTCCCAAGAGGCAGACAGCAAGAGAAGGAGCAACAATGTCAGCTCCCTTTTTTTCCAGGATGCCCATGGTATTGACCTCCACCTTCTCTCTGTGTCTGCTGCTCAGGCCCTGGCTGACTTTCCTGTCTGGGATGATCCAAGGGAGGGGCAGGAAAGGGGTGAGCATAGTGCACCCTCTTGTCCCCCTACCTCGGAATAGTACCCTCCTACCATTCCGAGGTAGGGGGACAAGATGTTCTATTTCCCTGACCCTGAGTTTTCTCCCTGCACCCCTAGGTTTTTATATATATGTCGTAGATGGACACAACACCTTTATTTTATTTATTTATTTTTATGTGGTGCTGGGGATTGAACCCAGTGCCTCATAGTGCAAGGTGAGCGCTCTGCCACTGATCCACAACTCCAGCCCAACCCCTAGGATTTTACATACTCCCCCACCCCAACTGAAGTGAAGACTCAAAGCCCAGGAGAAAGAGGCTTTTGGGAAAAAGGTCACAACTACTCTCGCCCTTGTCTCTCCCCGATTTCTGTGGCAACCAGGCAACTGTAACTCAGGGGCACAACTGATCAGACCTGCTTTGGATGGGTAGATCTCTGATTTGAGGATGCTTAAAGATGCAGTATGCAAAGAACCAGGTCCAGGCCCACCTGTAACAGATCGTCCCACTTCCTAACTGGTGTCAGGTGTCACTGCAGCAAGAAAGATTTAGGGTAGACCCAGATGGTCAGGTCATTTGCAGTGAGTTGCAGACCTGTGGGGAACTGTGTGGCTCCACATGTTTGTTTGTTTGTTTGTTTGTTTTGGTATTCAGAGATGCTTACCACTGAGCTACATCCCCAGCCCTTTTTAATTTTTTATTTTGAGACAGGGTCTCACTAAATTGCTGAAGGTCTTGCTAAAATTACTGAGACAGTCATCCTGTGTTGCTGGGATGACAGGGATGCCTCACTGCATTCAGCTAAAATTTAACTCTTAAAGAATACCTCCACTTACATCTAAGAAGACCCCCTACGTGGGGCACATACATCACAGAGAATTCACCCAGACCTCCCCACACATATCACCTTCTTCATGGGCAACCTCCAAGCCCTCTTTTTTTTTTTTTTTAAGAATTTTAATATTTACTTTTTAGTATTTGGTGGACCCAACATCTTTGTTTGTATGTGGTGCTGAGGATGGAACCCGGACCAGATGCATGCTAGGGGAGCGCGCTACCGCTTGAGCCACATCCCCAGCCCCTCCGAGCCGTCTTTCAAAGCCAAAGGTCAGCACTGTGATACTGACTTTGAGTCAAACTCCTACAGAGGTCCCTTACTTTATAACTTTTCTTTGCCAATTTTATTACAATGATGCTGGTCTATGTGTCTCCCACGAGCTTATGAGTTCCTTGAGGATGAGAACTGACTTCTTTGTTCATCTAATATTTAGTGTCAATACACAGTAGGTGCTCAATAAAGGCTTGTCGAAGGGAGGAAAGAATTAACACAAACCACACAAGTAGGTTCCTGGGTCTGGGGCAGGACGCCATCTCCGCACTCAGATAGATCTGTAGAATTCCATCAGAGACCCAGGAAACCTCTGCTCTGGCTCAGAGCTTCCACTGTGGACCGGAGAAATGCAGTGGGGACACTGGGAAAAGCTGGGTGAGGAGCCCCAAAGGAGCGAGGGAGGAACCCCAGGACACCAAGGAGCATCACCGACAGCTGAGTCTGGGGGTGGGGGGGGCAGGAACCATTTTCACTCTGGAGTCCCACTTCTGCCCCTCCTCCCCTCCTGCTGCCACCCTGGACCCCAAAGAGGTGAGCCGAGCCTTTGGATTCGGGAGACCCTATATAATATTAAGACAAGCACAATAGCGACGCCAGGCACCACCGTGTAGCCCCGGCCCCCAGACAGCAGCAGCTGGGCGCGGCTCAGCCGGAGGCCTCAGTGGCGTCCTTGCCAGGGACATCGTCATCCGGCTCGCCGGACTGGAGCCTGCGCACGATGCCGGTGAGGTCCAGGCTTCGTGTCAGCGTGTCCAGGAGCTCCTGGTCCTTCTGGACGCCCTCCATGAACTCCTCCAGGGAGAGTTCCCCTGGGGTACAAAAAAAGGGATTCCCGGTGGGAAGGGTGTCCACGTCTGCTGGCCAGGGCCTAGAGCTGGATTTTCCTTCCCTGGTATGGGGATGGAACCCAGGGGCGCTCTACCCTGAGTACCACCCTTTGTATTTTTATTTATTTTTTAAAATTTGCTTTTGAGACAGTGTCTCCTAAATTCCCTCGGCTGGCCTCGAACTTGCCATCCTCCTGCCTCAGTCTCTCAAATCTCTGGGATTACAGGTGTGCACCCCGAGCAGAGCCAGAGCAGAGTTCTTGCAAGGGGCAGGGTCAGAGACAGACCAGAAAGTGTGGTCCAGGGATCCCTAAGAGCTAATTCTGTGGCTGGGGCAGAGAGGGATGCAGGAAGTGACCTGCAGAGGGACCTTTGTGCCTCCTCCTCCTCTCCTGCTCCTTTCACCTTTCATAGGAAGTCACTATCCCTGGGACCCCTCCCCGGGGAAGTCCCTCCTTGCCCCCTCACCATCCCCATTGACGTCAATCTTGGTGAACACGGTGTCTGTGAACTCCTCTGCAGTCATGGTCGTGTCGCTCCAGGGGTTAATAGTTCGAATGGCCTGAGAGGAAAAAGGCAGGAGTGAAGGTCCCATCTTAATTCTCAGTGGTGGGGACAGTAAGAGCTTTTCTGGCTCCCAACAGCTGTGGAGAGCGGAGGCGATGGTGCCCTGGGCCTCAGACAGATCTGGGACTTAAGAGTGGAGCTTTTATAGTCCCTTGGAAACAGACCCACAAAGGGGAGACGACACAGCCTAGTTCACGCAGTTGGTGAGGGTCAGAACTATCGCCCGGACCCTGAGTCCCAAATTCGGTCTCAATCCTGAGATAGTGGATCCTTCCCCCCGAGCTCTCAGCTCGGGGTCCCGCTGTCCACGCCCCTGGCCCAGCCCTCTGCACCTGGAGTTACCTGGATGATGGTGAGCAGCTCCTCCCTGTCGATGCAGCCATTGCCGTCGACGTCGTAGAGCTTGAAGTACCAGCGCAACTTCTGCTCCACCTTCCCCTTGAGGACCAGGCTGAGCGCCGCCACGTACTCCATGAAGTCAATGTATCCGTCCTGCCAGAGCGCGCAGGGCTGTGAGCCCACCCGGGCCACGCCCCACCCGGGCCACGCCCCACCCGGGCCACGCCCATCTCAGCCAGGGTTTCGCCACTGGAAGTGCCAAAGGAAGGCCAGGGTGCCAGCTCTGTCCCCTCCAAGCTGTTCTCCCTTGGCGCCACCACTCTCCTACCCTCCTGGGGGCCAGGCATAGCCCACCCTGCCTGCCCCAGAGACTGCCCATCAAATCCGATAATCCAACACCCACTGGGTGTGACGAGCTGACACTCTCCTTCACAGTCATTTTTATTTTGGTTGTCACTAGCTGCTTCCCTTTGGTTCTCAAACATGAGTCTTAAGGGGAGTCTGACGGGGAGGTGGAGAGCCAGGACTGATGACCTCTGAGATCTGGTCTGTGCTGGCCTTTGGGCGCAGGAGAGAAGTAGGTAGGTGGGAGCGGGAAGAACACACCCAGGGACGAGAGAGGAGAGAGCGTTTTGGAGATAGGAGCTGGGGTAGGGGCAGCGGCCAGACAGGGAGGCAAGGAGCACCTTTCCCCTTCTCAGATGGGTGCTTCCTACTTCATTGGGCACCCGCCGTGTGTTCTGATGGACTGTGAGGATTCAGAGCTCGGTAAAATACACACCCCTTCTTGATAGTGCAGTGTGGTGGGTGCAGGTTTGAATCTTGGCTCCACCCGCCGTCTAAGCTGAATCTGAGACTAAGGGCTTAATATGGTCCTTGATATGGCCCTCGATTTCTTCACCTGTAAAAGTTAGAACCGGACCTAATTCTATGGGATTAAATGAGTTCACACATGTAAAAGCACTCAACACTGCCTGGTCCATAGTAAGCACTCAGTAAATATGTTATTATTATTTTTTTTTAAAGACAGAGTGAGAGAGAGAGGGGGACAGAGAGAGAGAGAGAATTTTAACATTTATTTATTTTTTCTTAGTTCTTGGCGGACACAACATCTTCGTTTGTATGTGGTGCTGAGGATCGAACCCGGGCCGCACGCATGCCAGGCGAGCGCGCTACC